AAAAAAGGGGAAAAAAACAAAAAAAAAAAAAAAAAAAAAACACATCTTAATAAAACCAATACCTTCTCAGCTTCGCATCGAAGCTAAAATAAATAAATAAATAAACACATTATAGTAAAATTAATACCTTTTCAGTTTTGCATCGAAGCTAAAATATTCGTCTGCAACTTAATAACTGTTTTTATTTCTGATATAAAAAAAAAAATTTTCTTATTTCCTTTTAGATATAAATTAACTAAATTTCTATTTCTGCATTATAATTAAAATTATAGACATTTTTTTTTAAATTAGAATTAAATTTTGTAAATCACCATTCATAGAAATATGTAAAATATTGTTAAGTTTCTCGAAAATAACACAGTAAATACAGTTCCTGAATTTGGAGTACGCAAAACCACGTGTGTCTGTTAAAAATAATTGTCAAATAAGAACAATTAGATTTGTATAAATAAAATAGTATGTTATTAATTTTATATAATCTTTAAAATATGTATTATAATAGAATTAAATAATGAACATTTTGTTTAATTAAAATTAAAAATTGTTATTAAAAAATAAAAATAAAAATTTTGTCAAATACGTTTACAATTACACTATGTCTCTATTTTGCTATTAATATTTTGAAATAACGAAACCAATTTAATTTTACTTACATTACTTAGACATGTGTTATTAACAAAACGTTATTACTTTGTTATAACAAAGTTATTGTCTTAATAAATCTATTATTAACTTATTCGAAATTCGTCCATAACGCACTAAAAAATTGGTATACAAGGTGATTATTTTAACATAAGCCGTTTGAATTTATTTTAAAATAATAATCGTGTTAGGAAATTTTTTTGGTATTTTTTCATTTCATATATTTCTTGATTTATCTTGTATAAATTACTTTTTTAGTTCATCCCTTATACAATATGAAGGTATAAACTTTATTTTTTTAATTGATAACATGTACATTTCACTTAATAATGATCTAATTAAAAAATGTCTGGCCGATAACAACTTAATGACCAGTACTTCAAAAATTATTAAAGTATTTATACTTAGGCGGGAGGATAATTACGCTCGAAAAATTATCTAATGATAAATATTTTCATAACCGCATCTCACTTCCAGTTTATGTTATGTATACATAAATCAAAAAATATATGAAACTAAAAAATAATTTTCTTAACATAATTATTATTTAAAAGAAATTGAACAGCTAATGTTAAAATAATCACCCTGTATCATTTAATCGTAAATAAACTGTAACCCGATTAAAAGTACAGGCTAAACGAAACCTGTATTTTTTTAAATTAAAAACCCAAATTTTAAACCCGTACCTCTTTTATAAAAGCCCTAAATTAAAACCCATATAAATCATTCGGGTGCAAAGCTTTAAAAGTTGTAGCTACATTAAACAAAAAAATAAATATATTTTATTAATCTTTGAATATATGTAAAGTAATCATTGGTAAGTATTTAAACTAATAATATACCAATAAAATTATCATTACTTAATCTTATTTTCATTTCTATGTAGTAATTTTAAAAAGTTAAGGAAACTGATTATAGTTGTTAAATATAAGAAATAATTTCTAAGGGTTTCAAAAAATTGAAAACATAAAGAGATCAAACATTTAAATTGAAAATAAAAATAAATATTTTTTGTTTTGATTTAATTTAACTATAATTATAGTATACATTAACATATAATAATGTTAATATCTGTTACAGTGGTTATAAGATATATTAATAGTTTCCATACATTTTTTAACAAGAAGATTTAAAGTCCCATAAAAATATGCATCTAGTGCATATTACAGTGCAACATCTAGAAAAAAGAATAAAAATAATAATAAAAAGTAATTTTTATGATGTTTTTTAATTAGTGATTTCATAATATTATTGTGTAATATGAAAAATGTGATTTTAATTCAAAACTTTATATTTTTAAATTATTAAAAATGTATAACAAATTTGATATTTATTTAATAATACAGTTATTTATTTTATAATAGTATTCACTCTGAGAGTTATAATTTTTTTAAGAAAGGACACATATGGACATTTCATGTATTTATTGAAATGAAACTTTTAGTTTTACGTACTAAATTTATTGAATTTAAAGTGTTAGGTATATTCATTGTCACATATGGTTTGAAAATACATTTTTAACATGAAATTATGTTAAAATATAACTTTAATTTACACCATTAAAATTGTGATATAATAACTTTCAAATATTAAAATGTTTAATAAGTATGTCAAATACAGCAAAAATAGTTATGACATCTAAAAGAAAAAACCTTGTAAGGATTTGAACATATATTATTTATTTTCATAATTTATAAATGATATAAATTAACTATACATAAGAGTTTAAATACGATTATTTTACGTATAGTTTATAGTATTTCTGTAAAGAATTTCAATAAAACTATTTAAAATTATAAGAATAATTTTTCATTTTCTACTCAAAATTTTTAAAGTCTATTATTGTTTAATACTTTACTAAAAAAATCAAAATGTTTTTTTTCCAAAACTGTATCAATAAATGTTTATTTTTCTTCTTAATAATTTGTAGACTTGTATCAAGTGATATAAAAATAAATAAAAAAAATTCTAATCAGACTTCAATAGATAAAATTCTCAATAATTCCGGATGGAAAAGTTTAAATAATGTAAGTGTCAGTTATAATGGTTGTAAATATGATAATCAAATTTTTAGTAATAAAATTTCTTTCACTGAAAATGATGAAACGCGTTTAAACATTGCAATAATGATATTGAGCTGTAATTTTGCCGAAAGATTAGAAAGCATTTTGTCAATTTTTATGGCCATCAAAAGTGACTGTTTAGACATTTTAACTATTAGCGAAACGAATGCACGAATTTGTGTTGACAAAATGTATATAACTGTTAATGATTTTTTGGTAACATTAGCTTTTCACATGAAAGAAACATTAAATTATCTTTATAGCTTGCGCAATACTCTAAGTAGAACTACATTTTATGATATAATAAATTTCATAAGTGACCCTAGTTCATATGAAGCAGTTTTAAAAGAGAAAAACACGTTCACATCTCTTTATATAATGGAAAAAATTATGTTATATCAAAAAGAAAAAATAAATTTACATATCTATCACTTTTGTGAAATATTAGAAAAAAAAACATCAATTAATGATATTGAGTTGGATTTTGAAAAATGGACCGAAGAATACATTAAGTCGATATGTAAAGGTTTTCCTGGTAATCAGTTTCACAATTTGCTTATAGACAAATTATCACAAATATTTGAAGTATTACTAAACGAAATGCATAATGAATTTGGCCTTTAAACAATAAAAAAATCCGATTTCTTAGATTTAAAAGTTTATGAAATAATTTTAGAATTTTGTATTTTGTAAAATTTCTAAAAAAATATTGAAAATATAATATATTAATATAAAATATTTATTTTCTTAAATTTGTAAACTGACTTATAATTCGAATAATTTATTTTTAAAATAGCTATGTTTTGATGAAAATAAACAATGAGATTCTATATTAAAAATGTCAAGGTACGAGGGTAACTATTTTTTTAACATAATCTTGAGAAAAGGAGTTTGATTCCTTTAACTTTTATAGTTAAACCTAATATACATAGGCTAAATGATTATTTTAAGCTATTATTTTATTAATACAATATGTTACTATATTAAAGAGGTATATTATTTATTAGCAACTAATAATATTTGTTGCTCAGTAAATATATTACATTTATTGAGCTATACTTATACATTTTTTTTGAAATAAGTGAAAAAATAAACTCAATATGAAAAATATTTAAGCTTAAGGGCTTAAATTAATTAAAAAATATTGAGTAGATTATTTTTATTTAACATAGGTGAAATCTTTAACTAATGGATTGATTTATTCCACAAAATATTTTCACTTAAATTATACTAGTAATGCTTTATAAAAGAATGTTTAAGCAGACTTTAAAATTGATAAAGGTATAATAAAAAAAGATTTAACTATTACTTTTTCAAGACAAAACTACTCAACAGAACAGTAAGGTAACTCATAAATTGTAGTACGTACACAGCTAGTAAAATATAATCAGATAAATTGGACTTATAATTATGACATAGGTTTATTTAGTTTAATAAATATATTAGGAGTAAGCATATGCCCGAGCATGTTGCAATTTAGTAGAATAATTTTTATTTCTACGAACATAACATTACTTTTTCATATATAATTTTTAATTATCAATAATTACTTAGAAATTAATATTCAATTGCAAAAAAGATTTTCATATTTATTAGAAAATGTGACTACTATTAATTATTAAATTTTCAAAGTTAAAATTTATTCTAATCTTCTATTCATTGTAGTTTAAGTAATGATGATATTTGTTTGATTTTTAATAATCTTAAATGTTAAATGATTTACTTAAATACAACACACGCATTAAAAGCATGTAATTTTACGCAAATAATAGGTCGTGTTGTAAAAATATATTTCATGTATTTATTCTTTTTTTATCATCTAGGTAATATTCTCAGGCACTTTAAAGTTAAAAGTATTCTAATTATGACTACAAAAATGTATATATATATATATATATATTTATGTATAATTTATTTGAATTAATAAATTCAATGCTAACTTATTTTCTAAAGCATATAATAAAAATGCAACGCAATGTCTTTCAAATATATTTTTATTGATTAACAGAATTAATTTAAATTAGCATTAAAAATATATTAATAGTATGCATATTTATGACGTTTTACTATTCGTATACAATTAGGTTATTCTAGCATTTATACGTATCCATTTAATGAGTTTGTTAGGTACACATGAGATGAGATGACGTTATTTTTATTTTAATAAATACGAAATCGCAGTAATTGGTACGGGCAAGTCAGCTGGTCTTATTCTTCACGTTTGTGTCTGTCACGACAGGTTTGCCGCTGTCACCTTGACAATAGTTCGTCGTTGTTCTGCAGCCGTCGAATGAACCGGAGTCCGCGTTATCAATGCGCCGCAACTTTTTATGTAATTTCCATCAAACCCCCCGCCCCATCGCTGTTGTGTTCAACGGCAGTGTTGTGGTTTAGACCGGTCCCTGCAACGTGTGACATTGAAAACTAATTGCTTGGCGCTCAGTTATGCGGTTGCTTCAGTTATATCGATTCCAAGTGTTAAAGTCAAATATTGCTCAAATGCCACAGTTGTTAAATTGAGATACTCATCGGTTTGATAAATGTACGGTGTTATTGGCCTTCTCTGTAACCGGAGTTTCACAGTATTCATCACTTTCAAACGGCAGTGGGTAAATATGTAAGAATTTTTTTTTATCGTTTTGTTTAAATGATTTTACTGTCCGCATAAAATTTATGTATTAGTTAGAAAAATGATATTGTGTTATTTATTAATTAGTAAACTGTTCTAATTTCATTTATAATTTTTTTGCTCTTGTTTGTTCTTTAACCAAAATATTTGATATTGATTATATCTGTGTTGTTTTTCATCTATTACATTGTTATCAATTATCACCGAATCTTAGATTTTCCCTTTCCGCAAATTCGTTGTCATATTATTCATTAGTTAAAAGATTAATTGTATACTAATAGCAAGTTGCTAGAATTGAAGGTAAAATATAGTGGGCATTGCACAAAATTATTTTTAACTAAAATTTAATTATTTTTTAAAATTTTTAAAGAATGTGTTCTATGAAATATTTTTACATCGATCAAATGTTTAGCAAAGATATATTGGAGTTTGGAAGTATTTATTATTTATTTAGTTGATAAAAAATGAAAATTTTCCAAAGCCTGCAAAAAAATTTAAATGACAAACACTTAAAGCATTTAAATAAAATTACTTTGGTTAATATCAAAGACAAAATTCTTGGATTTTCATTTAGAATAAAATGAAATAATAGTATTATAATAATAGTATAAAAGTATATATACAATATAAATATATATATAATAGAATATAACTTTTATAGTATAATGGTACGGTATATATTTAATAGTTAATATATAATGTATAAGTAATTTTTTTTGCAAATTTTATCATAAATATTTAAACAAAATAACTACACAGCAATAATTAAACAGACAAAATAAAAATCTAAGGTATGGATGAAAAACCTGTAGTATCGTATTTTAATAGTAACTATTAAAATAAAGCAGCTGTAAAATTTTACCCTTGTCAGTATGGAATCATAATATTTGTTCAAAATACTATGAAATAATATATAACTGTTGCTTAAAAATTACTAACACTGCTACTGACAAAGTAAACAGATTGTTGTTTGATTATTTAATAACTAATCTATTCTAAAATAAAAATATAAATCTCATTTTTCAGAAAGCTTAAAAAAAAAAATTACCTCTTTGCATTTAAATCATAAATGTGGTTAAACAACCATTTAAAATATATATATATTATTATGTATTAAAGTACTATATTTATAATAAATTTTAGTGGATTAAGTCTTCCAATACTCATCAATATAGTAGTTCATTATAAGTATCTCCAACGTCTTCAAAGATTTAAATTATTAGATTGCAATAATGTATTGAGAAAGGACATAAAAGTAACTTACACTTCATACATTGAGAATATATGTAAAAAAAAAACCTTAAAATAATTAAGTATAAGAATAATTTATAATTTTTAAAGGCTTATGTTAAATAATTACTGTATAATATATAAATTAGTAAGGTTGGATTAATTGGATGAGGTATTTAGAAAATTAAAATATTCTTTGAATATTTTTAAAAAATTGTAAGATGAATAATTTTAAATTAGTAGGATTGAAAATAATAATCTGGCTAAAAAAATAAATGATGACTATAAATTATAATGATAGCTATTTTTTAATGCTGGCTTAAATTAATTTCCCATGGTTTTAGCAAGTAATTTATAATTTTATTTCATTTTATGTCAAGTTTTGTCAGTTTAATTATATCATTTAACACTTGAGTTTATCTGTTTACTTAAATTTTGAATAAAGTGGATAATTACAATGGATAATCGAAATGATAATATAGTTGGTAAAGAGATTTATTGTTAATAATTATTATAATTATAAACTTAAACAAAAAATATGTAATATTTCAGATTTGAGTCTTGTAAAAGTTGAGTTTATAGATGAAGAAGATGAAACACCTCCTTTATTTTTGGAAGAACAGATAGCGTAAGCCAATCCATCTTTGAAAACTTTCTTAATTATTTTTATGTTTTTCTATAAAAAAAGTAGTTTTTATTAAATAATGATAAAACAAGAATTTTTAATTTTATAAATTTTGAAAAACAAACAAAATATTTTTTAATTTATACTTTCATTTAATTTTAAAATTTAAATGTTATAAAAATTTTAAACTATAATAATACATGTGCATAATTATCCATAGAACTATAGCAACTTTAATTTTAATTTTTTAACAGAAATAAAATGTGTGAAGAATCAAATCGACATATTCCACAAAAATTTTCCAATTTTTTCAGAAGTCATCGTTATCATCCCTATAAATTATCAGTAATCGATACTAAAAAATCGAATGCAGCATCATCAGCTATACATAGAGAAATCAACACAGTTCCTCCTAATCGCAACACTGGACCTATACCTATACTCAAAACCTTTTATTCTCAGGAACAACATTCTTTTAATAACAATAACAATAACAATGAAACATTTGTTGGGGGATTACAAGAAAAAAGTTTAAAAAGAAGTATGCAAAAGCATAAAGAGCCACCTGTAACATTAATGAAAAAAGTTAGGAACGCTGATAAAATAGTTACCGTTAACAAAACATTTCATAAATGTAGGTTTTGCAGTAAAACTTATATACGTCCAGGTTATTTAATAAAACATGAAAAACTTCACACTGATGACTTATCACCTTCTAAAGCAAAAAATATAACAAAGTAAAATGGTTGGATAGTATTCAGTTAAAGTTTCATTAATTTTTGTTCTTGTAATTAATTTTTTTATGTTTTGTATTATGAAATACTCAAATTAAATTGTTATTGACTTCTAATAAATTATTATAGTTTTTGTATAAAAATTCTTATCTATTTTTTTTTTTTTATTGTTACATCAATAATTATTGATACTAATTATAATTAGTATAAACAGGATGAATAATATAATATGTAATATTAATTATTAATTCAAATAGGAATCTTCAACTTATATAAACAGTATACTATAGAAAATATATTCATATAAACACTTTTAAATCTGTATGGTTAATATTTTATAGAGTATCTAATCAAGTAATTGAGAGTATCTGTTAACTTGAATGTTACAAGTGACAAAATTTATTTTGACTAGTTTCCATAACTTTTTTTTAGTCCAGACATTTTTAAATAAGTGGATGATTCTTAGAAATTAAATAATTTTGTATTTTTATAAAGTAAAGTACATTCTAAATTTTGTCTTTAATTTAAGAAAATCAATACCAAAAATTTCTTTCCTTCATTGAATTATTGAATTCTCAGAACGTGGTTTGTTAAATCATAGACAGAAATATTTATGTTAAGTATAAATTTATGTATTACTTAATAATATAATGAAAAAATCATTGAAATATTATAGTTTATTGATATAATATTATCTTTGGTATCATATTTAACTGAAATATAAAAATTCTATTATTATCAAACGCAAAAAGAAAATTTTATTTTATTCTAGTGTTTTTTTTAGATATAATCTTCAATAGAATGTTCATTGCAACATCAATATTAAATTCAAGTAAATTATCGAGTTATCAAAAAAATCTTAAAATTGTTCTCTATTACTAATAATATTATATTCACTAATAGGCTATAAAATTAATCATTTTCATGTAATATCTGATTATGCTTCACATATTTATAAATGAAGTGGTGAGTATTGGAAATGACCTTGACTTTATGAAATTGATATAATTTTTTAAATAATTATATTCTATTTGAAATAAACCTATTCAAATAATTAAGTGTTTTTTTGTTAAATGTTTATTTTGTATACGCTAAAACGCATATTGCCAATAAATATATAAATAACATACTTTGCAATAATCTCAAACCATAGTAGATTTATGTATCAATGTACAATAAAAATAAGATAAAAGATAAATTATAAATATTATCTACACTTTAATTAGATCATCTATATTACAAAGTGTAAATAATAAATATTGACTGGACTATAATATAGTAGATAAGACGGTCAATATGTTTCCCCGGACATAATGCACACAATAAATTATTAATAATGTTATGGCAGTTGTATCACATAAGAACGTAAATCTTATGACGTATTATTATGAATAAAACGTCTTAATCAATAGTTTGCTAATTTGTTTCAACAATTTGGCTTTTATATTATTCCTAATCTAAACCTGTAACATACTAAAACAGTTCAACGTCAACATTGGAAAATGGTTACAGAACATGATCATTTAAGTGAAAAAGTAAGTAGATGTATTGAAAAAAATTTAATATCAAAATTATACTGTTAACATATTTATTTAATTAATTTATTATATTATTATAATTTATAATTTTTTTAATTTACTTTTTTTTTAAAAGAGTTGCAAAAATAGTTAGATATCTAAATTTTATATTTTACAAATTTTCAGAGGTAACTTTTTTTAGCAAAACAAGCCTTAAATGAGTAATAGGGTGTAAGCGACATTATTGATTTTTTTTTATAGAAACTAAAAAAAACTAAATTTTCTTAATTGCTAATTAAAATACCACATATGTACAAAAATATTAATTTTTTTTTATTTATCCGGTTAAATTAATATATTTATTTGGAAACAAAAATTAAAATTATTTGATGATTCAAAGAATCTTTTAATGACAATAAGGTTAATTTTTGTCAATAATCGTTGAACATATCACTTTTGAAAATTTAAGACTATTGTAACTTAATATCTCTTTTTTGCTATAACTATGATATGTCCTCGATGATATGAAGATTCAACTCATTAATTTTATATAACACCTTATTTGCTAAGTAAATAATCAATATAGCAATTAGAATCTTTATACTGAAAGGTTAAGAAAATTTCGTTTTGGTTTTTTAAAGTAGCGACCGCACAAGCTCAAAAAATAATAAATTAAATATTTTTCCTTAAGATATATAAATGAATACATTTTTTAATTTTAGCAAAATTATTATTCATATTAATTACTTATAATTTTTTGAATAATGAGAATTTATTAATTCTATTTCATAAATGTATACAAGCTGAAATTTAGAGTGAGACTTTAAAAATATTTTATTTTTATTAAATTTGAATGTCACTTTATAAGTGTAATAAAATTTGTGTGCTCTAGCAGTCTATATTTGTTTACATAAATATACATTGCAGTATTAATGGTTATTTCTTCAACAACTTTTATATTATAAATAAATACATACGTATGGTCGTTTGTATGTAATTTTAGATTAATATTTAATTTATTTAATAAAATCATGTTGTCATTGCGTGATGATTATTTGGTTCATTTTAAATTATTTTATTCTATATACAATTAACATTATCCGTATAATTTTTTTTTTTGTAAAATCAGATCTATTCAATTAAAAATAATTTGATTAACTTTTTTATATTAATAGATTGTCAACGAGTTATAATTGTTTTAAGTATAGAAGTGATCTGAAAAAAGCCTAATTATTTTTAAAAGATTGTATTTTTATTGGGTCGTAAGTTGAGATAAGTATTACTGGTTCATAGTATCATAGTTAGTGTACAGTTTATTATATTTCTCTGAACTGGTAACCTTTATCAATATACGACATAATAATAGTGCCGTTTTTAAAAAATAAGTATGGTTTTTTTCTGATCCCTCTTTAAACTTTAAAATGATATAATTATTATTTGTAATATATTTCACAATATAACGTTACTATATTAATTATCACTATCAATGGTGGGTATTAACTAGTAAAAAAGTTAATTTTTTAAACTTTTTAACTTAACTAATTTAATTTTCCATTGACATAGTTTAGCTTTTTTCAGTTAATGCTTAAATAACAGTTAAGCTTAATTCAATATTTCATAAAAAAATGTATGTCTTTATACGCTGCGTACGTAGTTTAATTTAAAAGAATATGGAAATTTCCCACCCAGTTATTTTATTTATATATCAACACATATAATTTTCTGAATTTTTTCAAACATGTATATGATTTTTTTATAACTAGTTTTAAAGATATAACAGTTCAACCCACAGCAAAATGTACAAAACGAATAAAAAAATTTTTTGTTATCATTAATATTTTTCTTCTAAGTTTAAAAGGTATGATAAGTTGCATGATAGGCTAGGAACAAAAGAAGGTGAAAAAGAAGTCTATAGTCTTGCAAAAGTTAGAGAAAAAAGGTCTAAAGATTATCACTATGTAAGGTGTATAAATGATGTGATAAAAAGGAGGATTGTATCCAAAAGATATATTAGAGGTATCTCGTAGAACGAAGGACTAGTAGTTTTAATTAGTGAAAAAGAAATATGGAGACTGTGGCATCAATAAAAAGAATAAATAAGTAGGACCAGATGAAGTGCCAGTATAAGTATGGAAAATATTAGACGGTGTTGGTATAAGGTGGTTGAAAGACCATTTTAATAAAATTCTTTTAGAAAGGAAAATATCAAAAGAATGAAGGAATAGTATTTTGGTGTCGATATTTAAAGGTAAAGGAGACAAACAGGAGTGCAAAAAATATAAAGGTATAATGCGTATGATGGCAGTAGTTTATGAGTCATAGTATGAAAATTTGAGAAAAAGTAAAAGATAAGAGAATAAGAAATGAGGTATCGGTATCTAAAAACCAGTTTGGATCTATGCCTGGTAAGTCAATAATGGAGCCATTATTTTGTGTGAGGCAACTAATATAAAAGTTTAGAGAAAAGAAAAAATAGCTGTGTCTGGTATTTATAAATTTGGAGAAAGCGTATGATAAAGTACCGAGAGAGGTTTTAAAGTGGGCATTAATGAGAATTGGAGACAATCTCTAAAAGGTACATTAATATAATAGACTCTATTAAATAAAGGATATGTATGATGGCACACGTACAAAGGTAAAAAGTGTGGAAGGAGTATCAGAAGGTTTTCGGGTAAGAGTAGGAGTGCACCAAGGTTCTACTTTAAGCCCTTACTTATTTACTATAGTGATGGATGAAATTACTAGAGAAATACAAGGAGAGGTGCCGTGGTGCATGTTGTTTGCTGACGATATAGTGTTAAAAGAAGAAAATAGGGAAGAAATTAATCAAAGGCTAGAGGTATGTAATCAGCTCTGGAAGAAAAGGATTTAAGAATAAGTAGGCGTAAGATAGAGTATATAGAGTACGAATTTGACAAAGGAGAACACGAGGTAGATGAAATGAGGAGATCAGGAAATAAGGTGATAATAGGCGAAAACGTGATTGGAGAGGTGGAAAGTTTTAAGTATTTAGGATCAGTTGTGTAAAAGAGCGGTGGTATTGACAAGGATGTAAGACACAGAATAATATGCGGGTGGTTGAAGTGGAGAGAAGCGTTTGGTGTGTTATGCGATAAGTGAATTCTAATGAGGCTGAAAGGTAAGTTCTATAGGACTATAGTGAGATCAGCAATGATTTATGGTTCAGAACGTTGGGTGGTTGACAAGTAAGTAGAGTAGAGAATGAGTGTAGTAGAGATTAAAATGCTTAGATGGATGAGTGGAGTGACTAGAGAAGATAGGATTAGGAACAAGCATATAAGAGGGAGTATAGGTGTTGCGCCAATCGTGGATAAAATGAGAGAAAATAGACTTAGATGGTTTGGTTATATTATGAGAAGAGAAGAATCGGAAGCTGTAAGAACAGTTGTACAAAAGAATTTTGAAGGAAGAAGAGGTAGAGGAAGACCAAAAAAGAGATGAAGAGATACTATTGAATGCGATATGAGGACAGCTGATGTAAGCGTAGAGGATGTGGGAGATCGTGTTAAGTGGAAGTTAAATCTCTTATTTTCGGCGATATTTTGTGAGCCATTGATAAGGAATCAACATTTGATACAGAACCCAGTAATCTTTATAATATAAAGATTTAGGTCGTAATTAAGGTTGATATAAACTTTATATCAACCTTAATTACGTCCAATAACCTTTTTTCGGTCTTCCTCTTCTTCTTTCAACGTTCATTTCCATAACCGTTCTTACAGATTTTCTCTCCTCAAAATGTGACCAAACCATTTAAGTTTATTTCCTCTCATCTTATCTACAATCGACGTTACTTCTATGCTTTATCTTACATATTCATTTCTTATCCTATCTTCTCTGATTATTCCACTCATCCACCTAAGTATTCTCATTTCTTCTACATTTATACTCTCCTTTACTTTTATGTCAACAGCCCAACACTGGTACATACAACATCGTTGGTCTCACTACGGTTTTATAAAACTTACCTTTTAACCTCATTGGGATTCTTTAATCACACGAAACACCAGATGATTCTCTTCGCCTAAACCACTCGCACTTACTCATATGTCGTCTCACAGCTTATCAACGCTACCATTCTTCTGAACAAATAATCCTAAATATTAAAAAATGTCTACCTCACCTATCACGACCTCGTTTATTTTATTACTCTGCTTTTTCATTGCCTTCATATTGTTATTCATCAAACTCATACTATAAATTTTCTATCTTTTACTAACCCTTAATACCTCCCTTTAAAGGCTATTATCCTCATTTTAATCTTTTGTTTAACTTCCTTTCTTTTTTTTTTTTAACACCACTATATCATCAGCAAACAATATGCACTAAGGTACCTCTCTTTGTGTATCCTTAGTAATTTCATTAATTAATACAGAAAATAGTAACGACAGAAGTAAAATTTTTGTTCACTCATAAAGAGTGACCGAGTGAGTTAATTAAAAATTATAAAAAAATACTCTACAGTTGATCCCGTACTTCTGATGGATCAACTGGTATTTTCTAAATAATCTTTGGTATTAAATAGTTTATTTTTCAAATTATCTTAATATATTAAGCGTGATGTTTATAGGATAACAATGATAATATCGAAGATCCTGCTTGTTTAGAGTCTAAGCCAGTCAAAATTTCGTTTGAAGATATAACATCAGCAGCCTATAAAATTAAGAATGGAATAGTTAAATCTTCATGTGCCGTAAATATAACATATTGATACCTTTATTTATAAATTTCATAATTTTATTTTTCAGAAATCACATTTATCCAAGTTAGTTAACATGGAGCTTTATTTAAAGAAAGACTTTGTCCAAGTTACTGGAAGGTTAGTAAGATTTCTTTTTAAATGCGTATTAGCAATAATTTTCATAAATTTTATTTTTTCCATTTTTAACATAGAATGAGTGCTCTAAAACGTTATAATATTGTAAAAATAGTATTAACAGTTACAATTTGCAACTGTAATTTATAATTTATAAAATATATAATATATACATTTTAAAATAAATATATTATATTTGAAATTTTCTTTTCTTACTTTGATTATAACATCTATAGTTTTAAAGAACGAGGAGCTTGTTATGCTCTCATGATGTTATCGGAAGAAGACAAGAGAAAAGGAGTGATTTCGGCTTCTCTCGGAAATCATGCGCAAGCTTTAAGTTATCACGGAAAACGTCTAAATATTCCGGTTACTGTAGTGATGCCAACAGCAGCGCCAATCATGAAAATTGAAGCTTGTCGAAATTTTGGCGCTAATGTCATTGTACAAGGCTTAAATATGAAGGAATCCAAACAAATAGCTCTCAAAATGTCAAATGAGAAGAATATTATCTATATTAATGGGTTTGTGCAAAACTTACAGCATTCATGAGTCATATTATTCATTTTTATTTTATTAAGATATGATCATCCAAATATAATGGCTGGTCAAGGAACGGTTGGATTAGAAATACTAGAAGATGTTCCAGATGCTGACGCGATTGTGGTACCCGTTGGAGGTGGAGGATTGCTAGCAGGTGTTTCATTAGCAGTAAAAACTTTAAACAAAAATTGCCAGATTATTGTAAGTGAAATTATTAGTTATATTTATTTAAGTTTTTCGAATTAGAATGAAATTCAGATATGATTATAGGATCTTTATTTAGTGAACGTGTTCATTAATTAATTTTATCTTATGCAATAGTGAAATAAGTGTCAATCATACAGTTATCATTTTGTTAATTAGGTCTAAAAATGATATCATGGTGATAAACTACGTAATTTAGTAATAATGCAGTATAAAATGATAAAATTGATATCATTATACATTTAATCGAGATGTTAAATAGCTCCAAAATATTATTATAAATACTAATGATTTATAAAACATATAAATTAAAATAACTTTGACCTTCTGATTGAAAACAAAATAAGTGCCTTAACATAACATAAGTAATACACTATTTGAAGGTTTTGTAGTTATTAATTGAATAATTAAATTACTTTTCACAGTCTTTAGAAAAACGATATTTGTACATTAGGAAATTTATTTATGTATATTCCATAATAGTGAGTTTTCAGATAACTTTTAGGGGTATGTGAAATCAAATTTTCCGACTGTCAATACATGTGTTTAAGTGTCTCCATGAGTAAAAAAGTTTACAATTTATTCTAAAAATGCAAACCACTAATGGCTGTAATAAACGTTTTGTAAGGGGTATACACTCTCACATCACCTATGATATCACTTCTAAGATAAATTTATGTAATATATTCTTTGTTTAACTGAAAGTCCGTAAAATTGATTGTTTTTTATTTTTATAATAAAAATATATAAATAGATATTTAAAAAAGAAAACAAAATTATTTATCTAGAAATCGAAATCTATTATCATAAATATAAGTATTTAAATTAATTAATACAGTACTTCTGCGATATTAGAGTTTAATTGAAAAGTCCCTATTACAGTTTATTAGTTAGTTTATTATTAGTTCAGAAATTTAGTCTTCTGTTATCTAACAAAATTGGTTTCTTTTATATGAGTTTTTTTTACCTCAGATGCTATTAAAATAATATATTTTACTTATATAAGATTAATATACAGTTTAGTCTATAACTATTTAAATAATTAATCGTTATAGAATTTTAACGTCTTTTTTTGAATTAAAGTGACATAATAATTAACTTCGATGCACTGCATTGGTGTTACTCTGATATTCGTTTAAACTATTTTTAATTGCATGTAATTTGAATAATATAATGACTATTGTTTAAATTCCTAATATAGAAAATATTTGTCTTTTAGGGAGTAGAATCCGATCGTTTTCCTAGTTTTTCCAAAGCTCTTGAACATGGAAAGCCCGTACCTATTGAAGGCAAATCAACGTTAGCAGACGGTTTGGCGGTACCCATGGTGGGGTACAACGCTTTTGTTACCGCTGCTCCTTTAGTCGATAAAATGGTAAAATATTTTAATACAAATAGTCACGCTGATTTATATAAAAATAATATTTTATTTTGTTTTAATTTTTAGATTGTTGTCACTGAAGAATGGATATCTATAGCAATATTACGATTAGTAGAATCAGAGAAATGTGTTGTAGAAGGTGCGGGTGCTATCGGTTTAGCAGCAGCATTGTCTGGTCAGATGGAAGAACTTGCTGGAAAAAAGTTAGTAAATAGGAATTCTATGTAATTTTCATAAAATATTATTTATCTTTGTCAAAAAGTTTATCTATACTTAAGTAACCGACTAATTTAATGTATTTCTTATGAAATCAAATAATTATATGTAAGAATAACCGCACGACTCATATACATTGAGTAAATATTTATGAATATTAGTAATACAAAAACGTTTAATATTAAAAATTACATTTATTTAAGAAGTAATAATTATAATAAGTAATACACTTTGTCGTAACACAGGAAAGAAAAGGATAAAAGGTAAATGTAAAACTATGTGTAAGTGTGTGTACGAAGATGAATATGAGGAGGTGGTGCCTGCTGTCTAGGTATTCACGTGCGTGTTGTCGTACAGCAGTCACCGTGCTCGGCTGACACTCCGGGTTAGCTGTGGGTGTCGAAAGGCTGTTGTTATAGGAAGGGAGAATAAGAGTAACACCTAGGTATGAGGTGCAGACGAAGTGCAAGACACAAGTACTCTGAAATGTCGAGGAAAAGAGTATATAGGTTAGAAAAGGAATAAACAAAGACTTTACTTTAAACAGTAAGCCGGACAGCGACAACCGAGTACTGAGACTGATGAATGACACAAGGCACTGGAGTCGACTGACGACGATGGTCAGGTCTATTGGGTTTTTATAATAATTACACCTATTGCCGATTTGGCAATAAATATTATTTGTTAATTCACCAGTCTCAGGCAGCGGATGTGCTGTCTGTATTTTATTAAAATAATTCTCACGATTATGAAAACGTGACACCATCACAACTTTTTTCATTTCAGAGTCGTTTTATTGCTTTGTGGTGGAAACATTGATACTTCTATATTGGGTAGATGTTTAGATAGAGGGTTAGCTATTGATGGTCGATTGGTCAAGTTCCATGCAACTTTGAGTGATCGACCAGGAGGTATTGCTGAACTTTGTAGAATATTAGCTACTATCGGAGTGTGTGTTAAAGATATTATTCATGAACGAGCATGGTTGTCAGATGATGTGTTCAGTGTCAGAGTAAGTAAAAATATAAAACTCGATCTCTATAATATTAATAAACATTTTTAGTGTAAAAATTAAAAAATTAAAGGCTTTTTTGTACAACTACAAAATTTTCATTTGCGGGGTTATTTAAAATAATAATAAATTATTAATAACACTAGTTTACAAATAAAAAAAAATTTTCTGACCTATGACTTATGATAGTCATTTTTTATGTAAAATCGTCCACTGAGTCCGAAAATGAAGTCCAAAATACAAAAAGTAGAACAGTTTTTGAGTTATTGCGAAATTAGCGTTTTTCGTGTACCGCGAAAAAACGTTTTCATTATATTCTAAATATCTTTAATTGCATTCAACCGATTTTCATTTTTTTTACATAAAATTAAACAATATTAAATTACCTATAACTTTTATTTTAAACAATTTTTTATTTGACTTTTTTGTCGTTTGCTATCCACGAATTTACCACTGAATTTTTATCATTTTTTTCAAAATGTCAGAAAAAATTCAGAGTTTTACGTAAAATACACCAATAAAAAATAAATTTATCAACAATAATTTCAATAGACGTCATACTCTAATACATAACAAAGAAAATGATATATTATTTTGTAAAATTGATAAAAAAATGAAGAAGTTATGCGCGATTGAAAAATAAAACAAATTTCCTAAAATGTAAACATCATGTCAAAACCAGTTCCACATTCACTCTCAGTTAAATATCCTGTTTTTCCAAAAGGAAAAAAGAATATAGTGAATCGCCCGAACCAAGTAATCATGCCGAGTGTAAGACTGACATTAGTTTTCAACATGAAAAAATTCCGAAGCTTTTTACCCAAACTGAACTTAATGATTTAATAAGACATTTGAAACTCTCAAAGGAAAAATCAGAGTTATTGGCGTCAAGATTGCAAGAATAAAATTGATTAAAATCACAAGTAAAAGTTACATTTTACCGAAGTCGTCAGAAATATTATGCTCAATATTATATAAAAAAAAAAACAATGTTTGTTATTGTAACGACATTTACGGTTTGTTTAAAGAATTTGGTGAGCCATATGATCCAACCGAATGGCGTTTGTTTTTTGATATCAATAAACTAAGTCTGAAAGCAGTTTTACTGCACAAAGGAAACATCAAACTTTCAATTCCATTAGCGCATGCTGTAAATATGAAAGAATCGTATGAATCAATGGCTATCTCTAATTACTTTCTCTAATCAACTACAATCAACACAATTGGAAAATTTGGGCAAACCTTAAAGTCATTGCAATGGTAACTGGCTTGCAACAAGGATACACAAAATACATGTGTTTTTTGTGTACATGGGATAGTCGAGCACGTCAAGAACATTAAACACGAAAATATTGGCCAGATCGAGTAAACTTAACAGTGGACAAAGAAAATGTCAAATTCAATCCTCTTGTTAATATAAATAGAATAATCCTGCCACCTTTACATATTATACTTGGACTTTTTAAAAATTTTGTTAAAGCTTTAAATAAAAATGGAAATTCCTTTACTTATTTGAAAACTGTGTTTCCACATTTGTCCGATGCGTTTACAACCAAACTCGTTTCGTTTGGTTGTATATTCTTTTTTAGGAAACTTCAAAATTTTAAATTATAGAGAAATAGTAGACGATTTATTGATAAACTATTCAAAAATAGGTAAACAGTACATTTTATAATTTTATTATTTTTTGAATAAAAGAAACATGTATATTTTTAATTTTATCGGAAATAGGGGTGAACATGTCATTGAAAATACATTTTCTTCATGCACACTTAGATTTTTTCCTGAAAATCTGGAAATGAAAGCGATGAGCATGGTGAACGTTTTTATCAACAAATAAATGATATAGAATGTCGTTACTATGGGTTTTGGGATGAAACAATGATGGGTGACTATTATTGGTTTCTTATAAGAGAAAACAATGAAACATATAAAAGAAATATTAAGACTAATGCGTCCTATTTTTAATTAAATAAAAATTATTCTTTGGTTATCATAAAACTAATTACAAAAAATATAGTGAAAATTATAATTGTTTTCTTTTTTGTAAAACTTAATTATTTATTTTATCGATTATATGTTAAATTTACTATATTTAAAATAATTTTTTAAATCCATGCAAAAACAATTTCAATTTTATTAATTCTATAGAAAATTACTTAATATTTTTAGAGAATTATCATTTTTTTTTAAATGCGAAAATTTATCACAACCCCACCAAACTGTAAAATTAACTCAATTTAAAAATGTCCCAATAAAACTATATGAAATAACCTTAAGTTATTTAAAAAATCGAAATTTTGTTTTGAAAAGTAGTATTGTGAGTAATTTTCCTATATTTTATAAAAAAAATTATAGCATCGAATTAGAAAACTCTGATTTTAGGAAATTTGTTTTATTTTTCAATCGCGCATAACTTCTTCATTTTTTTATCAATTTTACAAAATAATATATCATTTTCTTTGTTATGTATTAGAGTATAACGTCTATTAAAATTATTGTTGATAAATTTATTTTTTATTGGTGAATTTTACGTAAAACTCTGAATTTTTTCTGACATTTTGAAAAAAATGATAAAATTTCAGTGGTAAATTCGTGGATAGCAAACGACAAAAAAGTCAAATTAAAAATTGTTTAAAATAAAAGTTATAGGTAATTTAATATTGTTTAATTTTATGTAAAAAAAATGAAAATCGGTTGAATGCAATTAAAGATATTTAGAATATAATGAAAACGTTTTTTCGCGGTACACGAAAAACGCTAATTTCGCAATAACTCAAAAACTGTTCTACTTTTTGTATTTTGGACTTCAATTTCAGACTCAGTGGACGATTTTACATAAAAAATGACTATCATAAGTCATAGGTCAATTTTGTTGTAAACTAGTGTAATCAATAAATACTTAGAGCAAAATAAGTATATATATTATACATACATATGCATATAATATATTTTTTCATGCACATAATTAAATATTTAGGCACTACTAGTTTGGTAATATTTTTTTTTGAAAACTTAGGAACACTTAATTCTTCAGCTCATCTCTATTCCTCAATATATGCATACGTTCTTTTGCCCGAAAGTGTGATAAATATATCAAAACTTTTTGATTTTCAGGTTAAAGTTGTGTGTGAAACTAGAGATTTAAAACATGCCCATTTACTGCAAGAAGTTATTAAAAAAAATTACACTTCTTCCATTTTTGGAGAAATACCATTACCTAAAGTGTTATAATAGAATTTTAACAAACTTAGGTTTTTGTGACTTAACATTTATTTTAATTTAATTTTTCATGAAGTACAATAATTTAGTTGAATAAACTCAATACACAAACACATACACACTTAGATAATTTTATTTAATAATTCTTAAAATAATAAAACATTGTCAAATTTATATTATTTTCTAATTTATCAAACGTAGTAATATTTAAGAACAATTACAAGCAAGATAATAATAAAACTAATTAATTTGTAACATTATTATTAGATATATAAAACTATAATACTCAATAAATAATGTAAACTTTAAATATATAAATTTAATATTTTTTATCTTACTGTAATTAATACATTCTGATGATGCTTTAAAATTAAGTAAATACAAATAAAATTGTTTTTGATTTTTATGTTAAAGTAAAATCAATGTATTTTATAATCATTTTAATTATATTTAATTTTAATTAAGTTCATGTGTAATTGTAAATATAAATGTAAAATAAAAAATTGATAATTTTGCTTTGTATTTTTTAATTTCCCAGGGAATTTATACTTAATTCACATGGAAGACAGGGATTTCATCTTTTTGATAATTAAAATTGAATTTTAATAAAATCATAAAATTTTATTTTAACAAATTTTAAATATTTATTGTTTATTTTGTCAATTATTTTTAAATCATTGAAAAATTACTATGCCAATTAATAATTCATTATATATTTTAAAACTTAAACTTAATATGTTTTTTTTCTTCAATTTTATCAATCAATACTTTATATTAAATAAATAAACCATAAGTAAAAATTATTTTATATTAACTAAAGGCATTTAATGATATACGAATTACCTTAATAAATAGGAATAAGGTTACGTGAAGATTTCTAATGACATCATTAGAACAATTTTGTCTTGCACGTTTATCTATTTTATACTTTGAGGGCACTCTGGTTGGCGGTATCGTTCAGTTTTAGTACAAATAAGTTCAATTGAATCTTTAAATGTAATATTTAAACTAAAAATTTTTTTTTCAAATTTTTTGCGTATTATTATAGTGACCATGGTATATAAATTATAAAATTTATGGTATTTGAAATAATAAAAATTAATAAACGCAATAGGTCTGGACTTGGTGACTTTAATTTCATCTGTTAATCTTATAGACCAGTGGCATCGATATCAACTAACACATATAATTTTTAAAAATGAAACTTTTCCTTAACTGTATATTTTAGGACATATTCTAGCCCGGAGACATTACTACTAGACGTTACATATGAAAACGAGAGTTCTCTTTGGTCTCATTGATGATGAGTGGATTTTATCCGTAAAATTGTCGAATGATCATATTATTTACTTTACACAAAAAAATCATAACTTTCATTATTTATTGAAATAATTATTATAAAGTACAATAAATTACTACTAAAATATCAATCAATAATTTAAATCATTTTTATCAAAGTATTCAATATGCTAAAAAATTTTAAAAATCAAAAATTTTATAAATTTCAAGATTTTTTTAAGCAGCTATTCAAAAAAAAAAGAGGAAAAAAATTATTTAGTATTGAATTAAATGTCCTCCAGAACTAGGAATTATGCTCCAAAAGTTTTTATCTACAGGTCTCAAAGTATTACGTTACTATTTGAACTAGAAGTTAGTATCGCAAAAACTGATTGAACAAGGTACATGAGCATCGGATCTACATTGTTGAAACTACTATTTTTAAAATTGTTGTGAGGAGGTGGGTACTTCAATGCAAAGTCCTCAAGCTTAATAGTTGTTTGAAGTGTCTATGAATCTATTACTATATAGTCGAACAATAGCTCTGATATATTTTACAATATACCACTACAGAGTGACTTCTTAATAACATCTCACAAAATATCGCCGAAAATATTAAAGTTAATCATTATTTATTTTTTTAAACACTAATAGTTCTTTATTGAGCTGCTCTACACGGAAAATTGATTTTTATATAATATTCATTATAACCCGAATTTATACCAACTTTCGATTTTTCAATGGGGTTGTCATTTTAAAATATAAGTTAATAGCTATTAGTTTAGCTATAAGTTTAAGCTATTAGGGATGGTAATGGAAAATTTTATTTTGACGAAGAAATTTGAACCATTATTGTTGAAAAAATGAAGTAATTGTTAGATCTGATATTTTCGACTATACTTCGTGGGGCATAGCTAAAGAATTATCTTGTATTCTGTTAAATTAACACCATCAGCCAAAGAATCGGTACCACTGCTACAAAATTAAAGTTTCAGTTTTAATTGAATTAGTACATTTTTTAAAATTGACCTGAACAAATCTTCAAAAACTCTTAGAATAATCAGGTTTGTGAAAAAATTCTAAAATAAATTTGAAGTGCTTATTAATTAAAAAATTTATTATTTTAAATTTAAATTTATTACTTATATAGACACTTAAAATAGTACGTATTCAATCTACCGATTAAAACTAATCTGATGAAAGTCCTATATGATAGTGAGGTTTTTCTTTGAACTAAAATACAAACTATGCTTATACTTTATTATTTAATATCAAACGCTAAATCTTTAAACCAGGGACTAAAACTGTAAATGTAAGAAAATTGATATTTCTCTTATTAAGATTCAAAATATACTTACAACCGTTTAAGTAAAAGTAAAATTACCATAAGTATTGGTCAAGTTAACATTAATATAGTTTTTTTTTATTGCAAAACCAAATATAAAATATAAATACATTTATCAAGAATTAATCTAAACTTTTATTTTTTAAGATAAAAATATACTATTTTTTAAATATAAATTATGAATATTTAATATGAAATCTTACATTGAAGTTAACGTCCCTGTTTTTCACTACAATCAATCCGCACTCCTTATGATTGAGTGTTGTTTGATATAAATTAAATTTAAAATGAGAATCAAAAAAGCCTCTAACCTAATTAATAGATTACAAATTTCAATTGTGTGCCTAGAACTACACAAAAGAATTTATTAAAATTATATTGGTGCTTTTTACCTTATAGAATTAGTATCTTTAAACTCTATAAACTCTTACAGCTAAAACACAGACACTCGATGATTATAGTTATTCGTTTAACATTTAATATTAAATAAAATATTAATTTAAAAATGAAAAGAAATCCACACCCATAATTATTAAAATTACAAACTACTGGTTTTTATGTATCAATCAAAGCATTTCAAATAATTTAATACTATAAATACTTTTGTTTTACTTATCTCCAAAACACAAAAATAATGTTACGCTGGTACACTTAACATAATAACATCCCTAATAGTATTTTAGCTTAATTAAAAATATCATTAATATAATTTTAAAAATGAACACAAACTTGCACTCATATATATTAAACAGACTAAACCTAAATTATAATTATAATTTATGGAACTTAATTAAATTTAACCAATTATATCTCTAGAATAAAATATATTTTCTAAAACACGCCAAATAGAAAGACAATAATTCACACAAAATTGTTTACTAAATATTTAGAATCGCACGCAATCTCTATAAATTAATCAAAATCTTAATACAATATATTAAACATTAGAATGTAATTAATATTTAAAATTATATAGACTACTTGTATATTTGCGTTATTTTCTTACGTTGGGGCTCATTATAACGTATGTATAACGCAAATATATTAGGTACATTTCACGATTGCCTGATAATTAATTCGGTTTAGTCAATCGACTTTTAAGTCTACGTATTATGGATGTAAAAGTAGCATAAATAATAAAACGAAATGTCCATAAATATGTATTAAATAAAAATTGTAAATTGTATTTTAAAATGTGTTAAGTTAAAAATATGCGAAAATTTATAAAAATCATAATGTAGTTGACGGTTCTGGTAAATAATAAACTTGAGCCTTACCAATAAATAAAAAAATATTTTTCAATTACAATTGAACAATTATTTTTTAGAATTTCCTATTAAAAAGTTAAGTAAAATAATCATTATTTAAACAAAATGACAAGCAATGCTATTTTTGAAAAAATGTATCATCATTTAGACTAAAGTCGAAAATGGCTAAACCGATAAATTCATCAAAAATACTTAAGATCTACTTACGTCTACCAACACACATATTTATAACAAAACATAAAAACCTGACACCTAACCTATTGTAAACTTAGTTAAAATTATTGTTAATGTTTTGAAAAGTATAAATAACTAATCTAATAGTGGAGCTAACCCGATGATATTTAAGTCTTGCCTGACATTTATTTTTATGATCCTATACTGGCTTACATAAATCCCACTTAATTTTTAATTAGGAATAAGTATTTTAAATTAATTAATTTAATTAATTTTGGCTTTATTAATTTATTTTAAATTAAAATGTATGAGGGCCTTAAAATAAAGAAACGTATTATTCAAAATTGAGAATTATTGGTACGATTTTTATAGATATTTTAAATATATTTAGAATGAAAATATCCTTATAACATTGAACAGTAATTTTTAAGTAACTACTTTACTTATTTAGTTTTAATTTTAAAAATAATTTTTGATTTAACTTAAACGGTTAAAAATTTCATTTATTGAAATGCAAATTTTTTAGCAATTTTAACAACATCGCTCGTTTTATTGAAAACAAGTGATAGTTGATGCGTTTAGTGTATATGAGAAGAACCAACACTTTATTGATAAAATATTATTTCCTGGTACTTTAAAATGAGAATCTCTTAAAATGTCTACTTATATATTCTTTATAATATTACATTCTATATATTAGTTATTCTTATGTTATTTCATAAAACGATAATTAGAAGACTAATTGTTATTAGCAGAAAATATTTTGAATACGGCTTTTAACATCAGTATTGGTCATATTAATTGACAAAAATAATAAAATCAATTTCTTTGTTATAACAAACAACAATGTAAATTATAATACGCTCTTTGATTTTACTAAAAAAATTAATTAGGGGCGCTTAAACCAATTTGCCTTCTAACCGCCGTTGTATTCTAACATTACTAAGATACGTAACACAATTTTGTAGGAACCTTTAAGTAGTAAAAATATCAATAGGTTAATATGTTATATAGTAGATTTTGTTGACAGTGTGTGTACAGAAGTGACTGATTGATGTTTTCTTCAACTTAGTTATAGAGCTACTTCGTTCATCTTATTTAATGAACATTAAAAAAAGAAATTCATTGAGTTAATTAAAAAAACATACAAACAAATTCAAATTGAATTAAATTAACTTAATAGTTAAAAGCAAACATAAATTCTTTGATTTTTTACTATTTAAAATTAATAATTATTTAAATTTTCATCACTCACATCTTCTTCGTAATAAAAATTAATGACATTGATCCAGAACTGCTTCGTAAACCTTAAAAAAATATAATTATTTATATTATTTATTTGTTTTTAATTTCAATGTACTTTAAAATTGAATAAGGTAACAAATAGTGAGATAAACAATAAAAAATAACAAATGATTTTTTCCATTAATGATTTTTTAATTTTTAAGAATTTTGAGTTAAACATTATATTTTTATAATAATTTTAGATTAAATTAATGATGAAAACTTAAAAACATTAAGTCAAAGAGTAAATGTAAATAAAATATAACATAGGAGCACAATAAAAAAAATTAACTGTTTTTTAGAGAAAATTCTTTTGATAACAGTCCCCCGAAAAGTTTCGAAAAGCGCTATTACATGAAAATTAAAAATATACTCAGATGTTTTTAAGCTAAATAACATGGATTTTATTTTTTTAACCCTTCTTTTATATGGTAAATTATTTTTCAATAAAAATTAATACTTAAAATAATTCAGTTTCTATTTGGAATATATGAGAGAAACAATTCTATACCTAAGATTAAATTCGAATCAAATCATAAGATTTAGTCAAATTTAATTTCTAATTCGAACTAAACTAAAAGAAAAAATTATAATCCTCTTACTATATTTAAATATAAATAAAATTTATTTTTAATTATTAATGGTTAGTGTAGAATTTTAATAAAATACTTACATCCATCCCAGAACAATTAATAAGACACCAAAGCTTAATAAAGTATACTTGAACATCATTGCTTTCCAAATAAACTTTAAAAGGCTTAAGCAGTTTTGATATTGATCTTCATTATCATTAATATCTTCTACGACTTTCAATGGTTCTATTTTGTCAATTCAAATTACTAATTAGTTATTTTAGAAAAATTTAAGAATTATAATTAAAACGAACAATTGGGTGTTTCATATTTGTAAGAATATAAAATTTAACAGATTTTTGACAGTATATTAAACTATTTTTTAATACAAAGCTTATACTATACTTATACAAAGCTATATACTACTTTGGAAAAAAAATAGATTTGTTATTTTACATACTTAAACTGCAATCACGGCCGTCTGTTTTATCAGGACATTCACAAATATAATGTTTGTCTCTTCCCAAATATAGACAAAGATGGGTACAATATCCGTTATTGACTGCACATGGATTCCAACCACGTTGTCTTGAGGATGAAATTACTTTGATGTCTATCGGTTCTTTTTTATTAGTATCCATTCTTGCTTCAAATGAGTAAGCATCCAAGTCTCTCTGTTCCAATTGTAAAGTAAACCAGTTGAAGAAGAATATACTATTATCCAACTAAAACATCAAGTCCTTAATAGCAATGACTTATATTTAATGAGAATTATTAATACTATAGAACCTCATTAATCTGTATCTTATGTTGTTCCAGAGTTATATTTTTATGAAATTATGAGGGTTTATCCCTTTTTTACGAAGAATATTTCTAAGTTAATTTATGATTCTAAGACAAAGTTGCACAAACTTAGAGCTATTCAAAATCACTTAAAAATTTTTTAAAATGCATATAATTCAAAAATATTGTAATATAACTAGTCCTTAACAATGATAGTTAGAAGGCAAAATTTTCAAAACAAAACTTTTTGACATACTTTGCAAATGACGAAATATTGATGACATCAAATAATTTCACTTATCATTTATTTCATTAAAATTAAAAGAGAAAAATATTAAATGAAGTTTTAGTGTATAAAATAATCAATGAATAAAATTAAATTTTATAACATTCCTAAACAATGATTTTGAGTTATAAAAGTCAAAAATCATATTATAATTACCCGCGCTGAGGATAATTTTTAGAAAACATTGATATATAATTAAAACTATAAGAAAAATAATGATTATACTTTATACCCGTGTAAAAACCTATTAAATCATTTATAATAATTATATTTTGTATTAAAGGCAAAAATAAACAAAAATAAAAATAGAGAATTAGTGCTATAGAAAAGTAACCAAAAATATTAACTGTATTGTCTTTTAACAATCATTTTTATATCTTTATAGAGTTTAAAGTATTTAGTACTGCAATATCTCATAATCTATTACAATGTTTTAATATTCTTCTACAAACAATTAAGTCTTGTGGGAATTATATTAATGATTAATAAACAAAATTTGACATAATCAATTCTTTATGTAAAGAGAATGTATAGAGTATTCAGTAAGTAAGGAAACGGGTATATATTGTTCTCATTGTTTATAAATATTGACCTGCTTCCTTACTTACTGAACACACTGTATAATGATCTCAAAACTATTACTACCATATATATTAATTACGACTCATAGAAAAATTCAATTTCAATGATATAGAAATTTAACGTTATATAACGTTTAAAAATTGAAATAGGTGTATAATTTCAAATTATCTGATCACATTTCGATAAACATGTTTAGATAGATCTAAATTTTACCCGAGATAAAAATTTAGGTAATTATATAATATTTATTCAAATAAGTTCTAGCTCTTACGGTGATTATATATTAATATCTTAATTTTAAATATTTAGAGTTTTGTGTTTTTATTAAACAGTATTTTCAAATTTATTCATAAAAAGGCTTTAGAAATGTAAGCTAAAGAAATATAACGTACCTTAACTTATTTATATATTAACTATTTTTCTAAAATCAGACTTTCATAAATTTAAATAATCAGGTCCTGATTATTAAGGTTCTATTGTATATATTTGACAAAAAATTGAATACGTTCATATAAACTTTCGAAGACTTACTAAACCTATACCAAATGGACGGACGTTATTATAAATGAGTATTTCACGGTTTTTTCCTTCAAAGTCGCATCTTTCGAGATTATTTGTTACACCATCAGTCCAATAAATCAAATTTGCTACATAATCAATAGTTAAACTGTTTGCAAAATTAATGAATGATTGCAGCACAACTTCTCTATGAGAACCATCTGTCAAGGATTTGACTATTTTTGGAACTGTTCCCCAATCACTCCAAAATATGTAACTAAAAATTGATTAAATTTAATGTTTAATTATTATATAAAAAAGAAATTGTCTTAAAAAATTAAAACAAACATTTTAAATATTTTAATATTTTGTTCAAACTTATTATTATTATTATTATTATTATTATTGTTTTATCTTAAAACTACCCTAGAGTAGGATGAACTGCTATGGACCAAGGTTCTTCATTAGGTTCGTGTATAATTATACGTCTACAAGATCCATCAAGTTTTGAGACTTCGATAATTCCTTCTATTGAATCAGTAAAGTATAAATTATTGGCTATCCAATCGACAGCAATATTATTCAAAGTTCGTATATGTTCATTAATAATCGCTTTTTCATTATGAGGTTCAATCATACTAACAGACCTAAAAAAAATCAATAGCAAAGGAAACACTTAATTTACTTTTGGTGTATATGCTTCCTCAAAACATAATTATATTCAACTATGAACTTTTTGAAACTTCAAATATACAAACATTTCAATTGTCCACTTACCGAATTTGTTTGAGTTCAATATCGTTGTAATAAATTAATTTTTGATTCCAGTGAAAATCTAAATTTATTAAATTTTTGGCCCCTGATATATTCAACGTTTGTGTAAGTAGACTATTGCTACCATCTAAAAGAATTAAACCAATTTCTGACTTAGCAGCATATAAAATTTGATCACCTGTTTCAACTTCACATAAAATTGTATGAGGATTAAGTGACATTCCAATGGGGCATGTACATTTGAAACCACGAGAATTTCGCATGCAAATATGTGAGCATCCTCCATTATCAATGTCACAGACGTTGACAATATCTGGATTAGTTTTATAAAGCTATAACAAGTACATAATACACAGATTATAATTAAAAAAGACTTTAAATAAAACGTATTTACCTCGTAATACTTGATATCAAAAACCCAATAAAGATAATTTATCGTTGATTGAACATATTTACTTTGAATTTGATTAGATTTCACCAATTGATTAGTGTTTATATCAAACCAAAATGACATATTTTCTTTAAAAGGTACACCAAATGGATACTTATTTCCAGTGACTTCAGTCATCCAATCACTGCCATCTAATTTTGTCGATTGCAAAGTATCAAAATAATTGTCAGTCCAATATAGCCTATTATTTTTTTTATCAATACTAAAACCAATTGGCCAACTAGCTAGTTTTTCACTGCTTCGTATAAGAGTCCTAAAAAATACAAAAAAAATTTGTACTAAAAAAATATAATATTGAAATATACTCATATAACATCTGTTAACTATCAATATATATTTTATTTTAACATAAAATCAAAGGATCATTAAAACTTAAATATTTTTTTCTGTCTTTTAATATTTAACTTATGTAAAAAATATTTTATTTTTGACCTAGTATTTCAAAAAGGATATTTTATGGCACATCATTTACGAGTAAAATACAAAAAAAAATTAAATAGTTTCTTTTTCAAACTTAAAATTTTAAAAATTTAGCTATTAATATTGCACGTTGTTGTATTTTTTTTTATAATAACAGTAAAAAATGTTTGATTACACACACTCAGATATTTGATTTAATCTTTGCTATAAAATTGGTCCTTAATTTTCAACACTCCATAGAATATATATTTGTTTAGATATACAAATTATAGAAAATTCCCAGAAAAATATTTTGTAACTCTTCAGTTTTGTAATATAAACCACAGATTTTATATATAATCTATAGTATTTTCATATATACGGACTGATTTTTTAATCATATTTAAGGTATCAAAAAAAAAAAAAAAAAAACACATCATAGTAAAATTAATACCTTCTCAGCTTCGCATCGAAGCTAAAATATTTAAATTATTTTTATTCTGTGAATAATTGAGTGGGTTATGATAAAAAAGTCACTCTGTATAGGGTTTTCAGTAGATTAGGAAACTAATTTCATTTTATTGCATGTAACAATTAACCTGTTTCCTTACTTACTAAACACTCTGTATATTTGAAAATACTATGAATTCACTTACCTATTTGAGCCATCAAAATCAACGCGTTCGATTTTGCCTACTTTACTATAAGTACACCAGTACAAAAAACTGAAGTCTGGGTAAACTGCAAGTGATCTTACATTTCCTATGATATTTGTAACTAAAATAAGTCTATTGCGTCCATCTGAGTCTACTACTTCAATAGTTCCTCTATTATAATCTGACCAATAAATTGAAGCTAAGCTAGATCTCCGACCCATCGGATCTATGGCTAAGCTTTCCGGTTGATAAATATTATTACTTAATACAAGTTCAGTATTACTGAAATTTTGCACGTTTACTTTGAATATGGCTGAAGTAACAGAATCTATCCAGTATACGTCACCTATAATTTCAAATGTATTTTTATTGATTTTTCAAAAGACATCACTAAAATATAGATTTTTATAACTTTCATTAATTGACTTTCTTAATAAAGTAGTGAAAAAGAAGTATCTTAATTTAATCGATGTAGAAGTAAAATAATTATACACGATTTAAATAGCAAATAAATAAATTGTAAGATTTAATTAACATTTTAAAAATAATAATAGACTAATTTAAATATAATTTAAATGGTACAAATATCATTTTCAAAAAGCTGTTTGAATGATTTATTGGATATAATATAGAATATTTTTTGGAACTAAAAGAATTTGGACAATATTCTCTGTTAAATCGCGTTTTTACTATATTTTTTAAGTATATCATATTTATTCATATATCTGTATCTTGGGTCTAGAATGATAATCTACAATAATAAAAACAAATTCCTATTTTCAAATATCTACTGTAGAAAAACTAAATATTTTGGTAGTATCATCTGAGTTACATCTTAAAATAAATCTCTGATTCTACTTAAAGAAACTTTAATCATGTTTCAAACACACTTAAGAATTCTATTGTAGTTTTTTGAATATAAAAAAACAAATATCCGTTTTTGTAGTTGGAACCTTTTAGAACCAATATGTAGATATAATAATAAAGTTACTCATTAATTGAGTATCATTAAAAAAAAAAAAGTTCAAATAAATGATGATATGCTAAATAAAGGTATTTTAATAAATATTATAGGAATATAATTTTATACATTATTTCAATAATGCATTTTCACTATAAAATTTTTATATAACTAACCTTTGATATTGTCCATGCCAATTAGACTTACAGATTTTAGATTTTTTATAGGTAGTATTGTATCTTTAAAGTAAGGTGTATCAAATGATAGCATATGAATTTTCGAGGAATGAGCCATTAAAATGAACTTGGAAGGAAATATGACACATTTCTTTTTGTTTTGTGGCTGTAATTAAAAAGTAAAAGCTTTTTATGAGAGTTTTAGTAAATTGTAATACAACGCACCTCAAGAGTGTACCCTATTGGACATGCACAAGATCGACGATTACGTAATGGTGATGATAGGCATATGTGTGAACAACCTCCATTGTTAAAGTGACAAAAAGAATGAGCTATATATTGTCTATCATTAAATATTTGGATATCCTTAAATCCTGTTATGTTTTGTCTGTAAATTTTTTTAGATTAATAAAAAGTCGTACAGTTAATTTTTTTTTTAGATACCGTATAACGTCAATTGTAACTTGTGAATTTTGTGTTTTATTCATTTTATACATGGTATTCGTATTTGTATCGGTCCAATATAAATAGTATTTATTCACAGCAAGACCATGAGGACTCATTGTTGAATTAAACTCTAAACAATTACACGTAAAAATTATTGAAGTTTAATTTAAAAAAAAAGGATAAAAATAAATTGTCAATGATAAAATGGAAAAGTAGTGATAATTTGCTCCAAACTGAGCACTGGAAAATCCTTGCACCTTTTTCTTAATAAATTGTGCAAAATGTATACAGAATGATTTTATCATTGCCTACCCAATAACACACAAAATAAAATTAAAACCAAACTTTTTTAATTACAAATTTTTTCAAATTATTAGCTATTTAAGTTCATCAAGAAATGAACTTGTAAGGTTGACAGCTTTGTTTATACAAATAAAAACACATATTTTAAATTTGATAAAATGTTTGAGGTTTTTTTATTAATATTAATTGGAGTTTGAATTTTTAAAATAACTTAATATGTTTATGAAATATAATTCTTTATTTCTCGCATTTTTTAATGAAAATTTCCATAAAAAATTAAATATTATTACTTAAAAGTGCAAAATATTAATTTTGCTATATTATGCTATATTAATTACACATCTTATTAGATATTATAGATTATTATTTATTTTCATATTCGATTGTTGTTTTTGTAGTAGTCAGTTTGACCACAGACTATATATCACTTATTGATTATAAAATTTAATTGATAATATATTATAGCGCAACATATGGTTATATTTTTAGTTTTAAAATTTTATTTATTTAGTATTTAGTTTGTATTTTATATTTAACAGTAATTTACTAAAAAATATTGATATCATCAATAAAATTGTTATTATTAACAAAAGTAAAACTATTGTGGTTCTTCTCTTAAAAAAATTAACTTGACCTTTCTCTTCCTTTTAAAATAATTAAATAATTCTGGCATCATGCCTGTACAATGTATTTAAAGGTGAAAAATAAAAACTGTCCTAAATCTTGATTTCTAAGAGAGTTAAAAGAGATTGGCCTTTTGGCAAAAATTATATAATTTTCAGTGAAAACTGACCGATCTTATCATTTTTTGTATAACAAAGGAATATTTAAATCATTCAAAATTATTTCAAATTTTTTTTTATATTGTAAATAGTTAAAAATAAAAACGTCTCTTTGACAATTTTAATTAGTAATAATATGAATTATACACTTGAGTTTTAATATTATTTTAGAAAAATTACAAATAAAAGTCAGAAAATATCAAATCACGTTCACTTATAAAAAGTTAAGTTAATTTTAAGCATTATAAGTCTATTTATTACTAACACTTAATAATTCTTGATTGACACAAAAATTAGAGTACTTTAAATGTTAAAACAATTTTTTGAAATATATTATAACGTGGACAATGTTTCTTGTATATAATTTCCATTGCATAATTTAATTAAATAAATTAACCAAAAGGTATTTAAAATTTAATAATATGGAAGGATATTGAAATCTACAAAAATAGTAATTCTATACGTTTTCCAGTGCTTTTATTTATAATTGTTACAATAAACATTATTTAATTTGTATACTAACGCAGAATGATTGTGCTATTTTCATTTTTGTTTTTTTTGTCTAGCGGAAAGGACTCTATTGTACGTTTTTCAACATCCACCCAATATAATGTCCTTGTGAACATGTCGATCGTTAGACTAACTGGATTTTTTAAATTACCTTCAAAGAATGTGTTTCGACAACAACCATCCATACCAGCCATTTCTATCTTTGGTTTAGCCTCATGTGTACTTATCCAGTACATATACCTCGCTGTAGGTGTAAATAGTCATTTAAGACTTCGGAAATAGTATAAAAGTCACAGAATTAAATAAAAATATATAAAATATTACTCGATGGGTCTAAAACTAGTGACCTCGGCGATTCAAGCTTTTCCCATATAACAATAGTTCTATTTTGACCTTCATAGTCAGTTACTTCGATGGTATTTTCAACAGAATCAGTAAAATACAATTTTTTTGTTATCCAATCAACCGCTAATCCCGAAGGAGATACTTAAAATCGAATTTTATTAATGTATTTAAATCAAATATTTTATAAAAATTTATATTTAAACATAAGTATAAAAAATAAATAATATGTTCTCGAAAAATTAGTCTTACCAACTCTATGATTTATAATTATGTTGATTTTTGATGAAATGGTTTCAATTTTGGAAATAACCTGTTTGCAAGGGTCAGACCAAAATATAAAACCATTGTCCCAATCAACTTTTGAAGTTGATTGAGAGAGGTTTAATTGTATTATTTCGTCATGAGTGTAAGTTAAGTTATTTAGTTTTATTATTTGCAATCTATCAACGCCATTCATTAAAATAAATATTTCATTTGTTGTTTCACATGTACGACTGAAATTGAGAATAATATGCTATTTAATATTACACCTTAAGCCTACACAATCTTTAACATAACGATACCTGTCATTAGCAAGCTTCAAATCATAAGGACATTTACATATAAAACTAGTATTCATGGGCAAACATATGTGAGAGCAATTGCCATTATTTACGCCACAACTATTAATAATTTCCGGAACAAAACTTTGATGAAGTCTGTTAAAAATAGGACTTTGACTTAAAAATTGTAAATTTTTCTTATAAATATATAATAAGAATTAATCACTTATGGCTAAAAATTTAAAAATTAAAAAACATATTTAAAATATTAATTTAAAACTAAAAAATATTGAACTAAAAAAAAGCCACAAAAATTTGTGTATACATATTCCGAAAACAATGTTACCTTCATCAGAGCTAAATAAAAACAATTTTTTTATAATATCATTATAAAACAAAAATTACAAAACCATTAATATTTTTACATTAAATATTTTACTTCAAAGTTTTAATTATGATAATATATATGTACAATAAGGATATAACTCAAAAATTATGCTTATTGACATTTTAGTATTACTGAACTCTAATATCTTATGTCTAATGATTGAGAGTTTATGAATGAAAATTACAGTGAACTTGTAATAATTTTAAGTCAAATAATTCTCAATATAATATAGCTATTAAAAAAAGTCAAAATTTTGAAGTCGTTTACCTCAAAATTTTTTGAGATATGTTCTTATTGTAATGATATTATGATATAATACTTGAGTTGAAATTAAGAATTAACATTTTTAAAGAATTGTACATATTGATGAAGTATAATTTATCTATCAGAGCTAAAGGGGATTAAGTCCATGTAATTTGAAAGGACTTAATCACCTTTTAGCACTCATAGAATCAATTATAATTGTAAGAGTAATTTTAAAATTAATGAATTAGATAATTTGCATGATTTAAAAAAAAGTCCTAAGTCATTTATACCGTTTAATTTTAATGGCAGAACCAAGACCTTTCCTAATGATTTTTAAGTCCTCGCCAGTTTCCTTATTAGCAGATTGAATACTTTTTGTGTACCAATCTACCCAGTAAAGATGTTGATCAACGATGGCTAGCCCGGAGGGATCAGATAATTTTCTTTTAATTACCTAATTATACAAGTATATATATATTTTATATATACATATATATATATACAAATAATAGCATATTAACTAAAAAATAGACTTACTGTTCGGCGGTTATTTCCATTCAAAGAAATACAAAAAATGGCTCGTAAGCTAATATCTGCCCAGTAAACTGTGTCACTAGATAAATCCACAGCTATTCCAGAAGGAGTAATTATATTATCTTTAACTAATATTCTCCTATTTGTACCATCCATGTCCATGATTTGCAATACCGGATTCTCTTCTACTATTCAATGAGTTGTAAAAATAAAGAAAATATTAAAATAATATTATAAATAATTAAAATACTTGTTTTTCTATATCATACCTTTAAAGTAGTAAATAATAAATCATATCAATTTAAAACGAGAATTTAATATATCAACATAAGATTTTATTTTTTATTCAAATTTTATAACAACGAAAATTCTTTTGTCATATAGAAAACAGATATTATTATTCAAGTTCGTAAATTTTGTTACATATATGATGAAAAATTCATGGCGCATAATTTCTTTGGACAGTTTTGGATGAGCATATTTTTTTTTTTTAACAGCGTCGAGAACATCGATCATAAACTATTTCAAATTTTGATACATTCAATCAAATTAAACCCAAGATATAAAAACTTAAAATAAATTTCTCAAAAACAAAACCTAAGTAGAATAATTTGGATATAAAGTTTTGGTTTTAATTAATTTCTTATATGAATAACTTACAAAAACTATAAAAACGAGATAATACATCATTGAATTATACTGCATAAAAAACATGTAATTTTTTAATATAAATATAAAATAGTGATTTTATTCCTCAAACCCAATTAAAAATATGGTATTCATTAAGATTTAATATTATTAATAAAGAATGATTCTCAATATAAGTAAAGAAACAGGTTAATTGTTACAAACAATCATAACAATAGAAGTCTATTTTCTTAATTAACTGAACACCTTAAATATCGTCCAAGAAGAGCAAGAAAATTTCATAAACAATTATACTGACAATTTTATTGTGAATTTAATTTTGCGTTTCTTTATTAATACCAAATTTAAATGTAAATTAATCCTTTCTAATTAAATTTAAGACTCTTTAGAGTCTAGGAAAATATATCGATAGATTTACTCAAATTATTCAATAAATTGTAACACATAGAAGCATATGATTTCAATAATAAAAATACAAATAATATTTATATTTCCTTCTACTACAATTATTACATTTAAACTTATTATTCATTTGAATATCAGTTAAAATTTACTTTTCTCGTGAATCAAAAATAAGTCACTTGTATTTTATACTTTGTATTTATAACATCCAAATTTATAAACAATTATAGGAGATCTAATATACTTTTATACTTGTTAGATAATTTTAACAAAAATATTAAAGTTTATATAGACAAAATGCCAAAATTATAGGGGATAATTTAGGTGCTAAAAACCAAATTTTCTATTGTATAAATTAGTTCTCAAACTTAATTATTTAAAAAAAATTGCGAAATTCGTGTTATAACAAATACTTCTTAATGAAAACAATCATTGAGAATTATTTTGTCGTAGGTTATTTCATAAAAGTGATAAAAATTTAAATTGTTTTGCTAAATATTTCGTAATGTTTTACATGTATAAATATAGAAAAATCAATGTCATGGCATCAAATTATTAGATTTTCAATCATTATTTCATGATTTTACAGTTTTTTAAGATTTGTACTCTTAATTTTTTTATTTTTAATGCTATAGTTAAAAAATTACTAATGATAAAAAAATATCATATAGGTAATGTATGTATAATTTAAATATTATAATCATCAACAAACAAATGAATCTATGGAAAATAAATAATTTTAAAAGTTTGCTTGTAGAGTAATAAGGTTTTGAAAGATAAAAATGTTTACAAATATGTAAACTATATAACTATGCATATCTTATCAACTTTGAAAATAAAAATAGCAACATTCTCGAGGGAATGTGTGATGATTTTTTTTACCGATAACTCTTTATACTTTGCGTGTTAATAAAAAGTTAAACCAAAAATTGTTCACAAAACGTGACAATAGTACAAAAAACCAGGTCATATTAAATTTCCGACTAATAACTAAAATAATCTTCTGGACTTAATAAACGTGTAATGTAATTATTGTGAAACTAGCAATATGTAGTAAAATATTACGTTTTGGTTCTTAAATAATTTTTGAAAATTTTTNTAATTACCTCAAGCTATTATAAAAATTTGACAACTACTATAGTTCATTACTTTCGTGCTAATAAATATTTTTATAGTAACATTTTCATTGAGAGTTTAACTAAAACTTAAAGTAACAAACTTTTTTTTAGTATATAGTAATATTTAAAAACACTATTTAAAATATCATTGTAACAATGTAAATGTAAAACATTAAATAAAATAGTATGGTCAATTATTACTCACCATAATCAATCCAAATGATCATCCGTTTAGTTGGAATCGCTGTAATATCTCTAGGTTGGTGTATTTTTTTGTCGGTCAAAGAATGTCTAAATTTACCATTTAATGATATTACTTCAATTTTGAAGGAATTTTGAAGAGAAAAGAAAATTAATCCATGTAACCAGTCAATGGCTGCATTATTCGATTTACAGCATAATACATCTAAATTTTTTTTTTTTTAATTTGTGTTTATAATTATACAACAAAACAATTTTTATTAATTTGAAAATTACCTAAAATACTTTGATTTATTTGTTTAATGCTATTAACCAAAGGATTAGCAGTTATAACTAAGTCACCATTGATATGGTAATCAATAGATACGCAACTTCCTATCATTGTGAATAAAAGCGAGGATTCGTTCATTTGCTGTAAAAATAAAACCAATATTTGCATTTAAAATATAAAATAGTGTCACTATTTAAAAAATAACAACTTATGTTTGGTTGAAATGTGTTTTGGATTTAGTTTTGGGTATTGAGTGCATACTTGATACCATCATAAGCAATACATTTATTTCAACTCTTGATTTAAATTACTTATATTAGTACTTAAGCTAAAGTTACTTGTCTTTGACTTATAAAAAAAACTAATAAGAAATAATTTAATATATAGAATGATCAGTAAGTAAGGAAACGGGTTTCTATTGTTCCCATTGTTTGTAACAACTGACCTGTTCCCTTACTTACTGAACATCCTGTTTAATGTAGTAAGTTATAAAAGTTCAGACTTAATGCCAAAAAAGTTTACTATTACTTCAAAACTTAAATAAAGGATGAGTTCATGTAAATTTACACCAAAATTAACCTATGACATGTACTCGAGTCAAAAATGCAAAAAATAGAATAACTTTTGAATTTTCGCTGAATAAGTGTTTTTTGTGTGAGCCAAAAAAATACATGTTTTCTAATATTATGAATTTTTATAATGTATGCCACTGATCAAATATAAATAAATATTTCCCAAAGCTATAATATAAAGGAAAACAACATTTTCAAGAAAATATACGGAAAAATAACTTGAAAATAAGTGAATTCTATTCGCGATTAAAAAAATATAAGATGTGATTTTTTAAAATGATTCTCCGTATGTTTTTGTTAAATATGATGTTTTTTATAACATTATATCAAATTAAAATTGTATGTATTTGTATAACCCATTAAATATTAAGTTTATTGTAAGAAAAAATTATATCTAATTGTAGATTTTAGGAGTAACTTTCGAAAATTAAATGGGAACCAAATAGTATTGTTTTAATTCTATATGGAGAATAATATACAACTAGAGTAAATGTAATTTTTATCTGTAGGCTAGAAATGTGCGGCAACGTTGAAGAAATGTCGCGTTTTTCATCTGTTCGTTATGGTAAAAATAGAGCGTCGCTGAACACAGCCCATTTTACACAGTTTCCAAATCTTTAAATGCTAATATCTCAAAAAGTAATAATACAAAACTGGTTATAACCAGTTTGATAATTATCAATCAGTCAAAATATTATTTAGACCATTCTCGATGTAACAGTAAAAAAAAATAATAATTTAATTTTCGCAAATTAATCCTTTTTATCTTCTTTTAGACACAGCGGTGTGATTTTTAATAACAATATCCCCCTATATTTTCGTTAAATAATGATTTTTTTATAAAAAATTATAGACTAAAATTTATTTTTATAATCCATTGTAAATGTAAAATGTATCGTAAGAAAAATGTATTCCTAAGGTTCAATTTTAGGAGTAACTTTCAAAAATTAAATGGGATCTTATTAGGATTTTTTTTTTACTATTGCATGGATAATTGTTTAAATAAAATGTTGACTGATTAATGTTGACTGAGATATTAGTATTACAAGATTTGGAAAAAGTGTAGAATGTTCTGTGTTTAGTCAAATTTTAATTTTACAATGGCTTAGTATCTTGACAGTTAACCTGCATCGTACTTTTTAGATTTTAATTATTAGGCGTTCATTTTTTTAATGGCATCAATTTTGTTTCAAAATGTTTAATGTGTAGCTTTATAAGTACTATCATTTATACAAATTCTTATAGGGTTATTAAAGTTTCAAATTCTGATAACCTTAAATTTTATCAGAATTTATGTTAAAGTATCGTAATCATACTGAGAAGCTAAACAAAAATTCAATTTAAAATTATAGAAGTGATACTTTTTGACCACTTATTATATAATCAAAAAATAATTATAATATTGAGGTTTTTTTAGCTACAGCTTTTTTTCAGTATATCAACCATGAGGAATTTTATTAGTTTATCCCTCATACCACTTACGATTGTCAACATTAGTTTTTTAAATTATAATGTACATAATTAACATACCTAATCAATAATATTACCAGTGAGTAACTACTTTCGGATTAGTATTCCAGAAGTTTTTAATATTTTAATGTAATGATTAGAGATGAGGTGCAAGTTTTGTTATTTTTATCATTAAACATCTCCTTCTCCGACCTAGTTAAGACAACTTATAGTTACAACATGACACGGTTCTGCGTCGTTTCATGTTACACGGACCCGTCCCACCTTCATCAGCCATCGCCCAACAACGTGTATATGACTAACACCACGTGCCATACAACACAGTACAAAGTCCAGCGAGTGCCGCACGTCCGACGACGGAGCCGTCCCAAATATAAGTCGTCCCGTGTTAGCGCCTTGAACGTTCGTCTGGATACCGTCAACGCATCTTTTAGTAACCGATAATTTCATCGCAATTGTGGATTACATACGCTTGGGCGTACTGTTTTTTAAGTGAATTATTGTTTGTTTTTTTCTTTAAATATACGGCTCATCACCACTACTAGTACAATTTGATGTCGTCAATGTTATTTGAGATCGCGCAATTAATAATTTGTGTCAAATAGTTACCGTTCTCTAAGTTAATAACCTATCTAGAATATACAATTTAATGAGCTTAGTGAAATGAAATCAATTCTTCATAAAATTACACCAAGACACATTGCATTCTATATTTTAAAGTAAATCTTGTTGATTTAATTTTACTATATAATATTGAACTAAATGGGATACCTTTAAGGCGTATTAACAATAATTTTTAAATAAATCATTAGCTGAAGATTTTTGTACGATATTTATTGTTTAATCAACACAAATGTATTGGAAGAGTGTAAAACTTAAATAAAAAGTTATGAATAAGTAATTAACTATACTTAGTATTGAGTAATCTATGGAGTTAAAAATCATAGATTATATGAATTATTGCTACAATAGACAGATCTCCTCATTATGCAAATGAACATTTTTCAACTACAAAAAAAAATATGAATAATTTATGTTGTAATTTTTCATTCATTGTTGATGTTCTAAATGCTTAATAAACTATGGAGAAGTTAGTGGAATAATGAAATAGAAGATGGTAAGGAATTACAAAGAGCTTGAAAATCTCGCAGAGAACAATAGGGAAAGAAATTTATGGAAAGACGAAATGCACGAGAAGAAAGAAAATTATACTATATTCCTAGTCTGAAAAATCTGATGTGTTTAATTAAGCTTATCATATTTAACCGCGAAAATAGGGCTATTTGGAGAGATTAAACTATCAAATTGATTTTATTTTATAATCCAAGTATATCCGAAAGTTGAAATCAATTTTGTTTTAAATAATACTTATTCACAGACTACTGATCTTATTTAATTGCTATCCTAAACTAAAAAAAAAAATAATAATAATAACGAGGATATTAAAATTTCCAACATATTTATCGGTAAATGTTTCACATTTTTAAAATACTAAAAAATATGTCGACTTTTAGTTTTTGGATTGTTATTTTGTTGAATAAAAAATGTTTACGCCACTAAACGTTTTTTTCTAACATTGTACCAGAAGGTAATACAATTATCATCATTCTTAATAATAATTAATAATATACTTTAAGAATCTTGTCATTTGATCTATATGAGTTTAATTATATCAATATCAATTCACAATAATGGCGTCAAAATACTCCCTGTTTCCCATGTAGATTTTAATAGCCCATAATAGAATCAATAAATTTATTAAAGAGATTCAATTAAACTTTTAGAGAGTGTATGTCTATTCTCTTTATCTAAATAATGAGTAATATGTGAATATTTTTAATGTGAAACATATTTTGTAACGTTCTAACCGTTTGTTTTGCGTGATGCCTTTCTATCCACTCAGCTCGGTAATCTCTTCTCTCTCACTGCACTGAACTCGTATATCAATAGAGTATGTATGATTATGAAGAAAGAGATAGAGGGACATATGTGCCCGTGAAAAATATGTGATTCTTAAAAGTGGTCCTGTTAGCGTATCATAAGCTATAGTTAAGCGCCATTATTGGAATCAAAGGAGGGGACATCCTAAAAAAATTCTAACATCAAACATTGGTTCTTTAAGCACATCATATGTGGTTAATTTAATTAAGAAGGCAAGGGAGAGAACATGTTCCCCCAGTAGATAAATGTAGATTGGATACAAATAGCTTTAGTGAAAATCAACGACCAAATATCAAAGTAATACCGTCAGAAGCAGAATCGAATATTATTATTACAGAAACAACTAATCAAAAGGATTGAGCATCCTCAATTTTTAAGAATATTTATTTTCTCTTAATTAACCATTATTTTGTTCATATTTTACATACAAAATAGTTTCGACTCTTTACATTTGCCAGGCACTGAGTTGGCTCACATTATTTTTGTTATACATTTTTTTGGCTTGATGTATTTTCTAAAATGATGTAATGATATAAAAATTAAATAAAAAATTCCAAATTAAGCCATTACAAAATATGTTTATTTTAAAAACTTTTTTTCCGAATATGAAGAATGAAAAGATTACTCTTACCTCTATTATATTTTTCCTTTATAATATTCTGAAGTTTAGTGTAAACCATAACTAGATTAACATAAAACTAAACTAAATATAATGATTTGTAATTTTAATTTTGTATTACTTATCCTCCAATAGCAATTTAAAAAAATAATATTATAAAATCATTATTATAACATTATTAAAAAAAAAAAAAAAGTGCTATCAGGGATGTTTTTCTACATGTCCAGATAATAAATAGACAATGTAAATAATGAAATAATAAAGATAACAATAAATAAAAGAATAATATTTAAAAAACCCAGCACAGGGGGTCGCGGCGCAGTGGTGACGTGGCATAGTTGGGTCCAGTATAATGATATCTGACAGTGATTAAAATCACTATCATAAAAAAAGCTTCGATGCAAATTTGTAGATAGTGTTTAATTTTAAAAAATTGGTGGATTATTCCAAAATCTACATGATCTCCTATTTCCTTATTTATATTCTGATTACAAGTTTTATGATTTATAAGTGTAATATATATACAGTATTTATCTTAAAAATATATATAATGATTCATAGATTTTTCAAAAAGTTATAGTTTTATAAAGTTAAAATATAAAAATAAATTTTTTTTACAAAAAATCGATTTTTTTAATTAACTTTGATGTCTGTTTTTACCGTGAAGACAAAATAAAGTCCAAATTTTTTTTTTAATATTAAAGTATATTATATAAGCGTTAATTTAAGTTATATTTAAAAGTGTCAGTTTCCGGTACAATTTCAAAAATTAAGTTGAAAAAGTTCTACTTTCAATATGAATTTTTTAGTTTTGTACCCACCTGTATATAGGTAAATGGTCCGATTTAAAAAAAAATATGTCGAATGAAAGATGTATATAAATACTACTTCTCGTGAAGAAATTGTATTGATCCATACATTTTTCAAAAAGTTATATAAATATAAAGTTAAGCATGTAATATATAAAATCAAGAATTTTAATACAAAAATGGCATTCGGAATTTTTTTTCCATAATAAAGTATATTACATAAGCTTTAATTTAAGATATATTTAAAAATGTCAGTATTTCCAGAACACTTTCAAAAGTTAAGTTGAAAAAGCTGTCATTTTGAATTCCCCCTGGGGGCAGGTAAAGTGTCAGATTTATAAAAAAAATATGCTAAATGATAGGTAAAGACATCACGCATCTATAAAAAAATTATATTGATTTGGTCATTTTTAAAAATAATGACAGTTTTATGTAAAAAAAATTGAAAAAATTAACGATTTTTAAATTAGTAATTTTTTTGGAGATTTCCCCCATTTACGGGGAACGATGGACATTTTTGAGGGTAATGTCTTCGACTAGATACAATTTGTGATATTTTGACGTATCGTTGAAAGAAATCGGTTCGGTGAGAGCTGAGAAAAAGTGGTAATAGACACAAAAAAAAAAAAAAAACACATCATAGTAAAATTAATACCATCGCATCGAAGCTAATAATAATGAAACATATAGGTAGGTAAATTATCAAATAATATACACAGTTTATAAAATATTGAGTATATTAAATATAGGAACGTATAATATTTTTTCTATCACAAACGAAATAAGTAATTCGTAAACATTATTTTATTACAATGTTATCACCATATAAAATATATTTATATATATAAAAAAAATAATAAATATTGTAAGTTTTTAAGTAGAATTTTTGTTAGTTTTCGTTAAGTTATTATACTTAAACGAAACATTTCAATTGTTTTAGTAAAAGTGTGTTTTCTGAGGCCATTTTCTAAAAGCACATTTTACAAACATATTGACAAATTAACAGTTTAATTTTAAAAAATTGTGCCGCGTTAAAAAATTTAGCCAGTCATTATTTTATTTAAAAAATTGTATTTGTAAAATTGACTTCAGTTTTTGAAGTAAGTACACGTTTGTTGATACTTTATTGATGTGAATGATGTTTTGTTGTAATTAAAGATGATATTGTAATTTGTACAGCACTTGTTTGTTATTTTTCTCTTGTTATCATCTTAATGTGTTTTTTGATAACTATTTAAGATAATTAATCCAACAGCTCCATACACATATCATTAGATTTGATTGCATTTAATAATAATGCGTTTTCTTTAAATCGTTTTAATGAATATATTTCCCGCACATAAATTTTATTCATCTCAATAGATTCTCGAAGTTAATTTAATTTTTCTATTAAAAGACTTAAATCACTTTGAAAACTTAACTAATTTACGGTTAAATGAAAATTCTCGAATGAATATTATAAATCACTTTTTGAATATAACATTACATTCAAAACTAATTTATCAGACGTAAAATTAGTTATTGAAAATATTCGTTATAAAAAATATGAACTTGTGTACGCTAATGGTGTCGGTATCCTTTGTTGCATAACAGCATCTTGTGAGTTATTAACGATCAGCATGTATTTAAATTGTTTTTTATAGTGTACTTGATTATGATAAAACAATAATTTATTCGTTATATTATTAAAGAAAAATATGAAAATTTGAAATAACTTAATTTTGAAAGTTACTTTAGTACTTTATTATTATTTTATATAGTAGATAATTTAGTTAATTTATTGAAAGAAATAACTGAAAAATTTTAATTAAAATTCATTTTGATTCTTGAGATTAATTTAAGTTACACTTGAAATAAAAAAAATGTTTTAAAGAAAAAAATTTAATTTATCATTTTTAAATTAAGAATTTTAAAAAACTTCATAGCACCAGGTTGATAATTATATCTTCGCCTGCTATAGTATAGCCAGTATGTTTATATTTACTGATCACAAACGCAATAATATTATTAATACAGTGAAACTGATGATATTAAATAATTTACTATAACACGCTCACTTGTTTACTCTCGACTATGTTTTCGACTAGTTCTATGATTGACTCACGACATTTAATTTGTTCAAAGCTTTTACTTTCCCTATGACAGCACAGTAACGATTTATCCATATTACACATTGGACTAAATGGTTTATTTTTTTGTGAATCGCAAATAATTGACCTGAAAAAAACATAATTTATAGGGTTGTTTAATAGATCTACTTTAATAGTTAAAAAATATATTTCCTCTTGAAAATTTTTTTACTAATTCAAATATTCTAAGTAGTGCATAAAATAATATAAAACTAATATAAATACAAATAATGTTGGCTGAAACTAAAGTAAATACAAAATAAAAATATTATTATTTCATTGGTGTAGCCAAACATTTTTTTCCAGAGAATCTAATATGAATTTTTTTGATGATATTTGTGTTTGCTCGAAATGCTTCTAGAAGAACAATAAAAATTTATATCGTCACATGAATTTCAGGGGGCCGTAGGCTTCTCCCTGGCTACACCCCATTGTTTTTTATTCTACGTAATAATATTATTTTTGATACAATCAACTTAATCAAAACAAAGTTGTAAATAATGATGTTCGGTTTTTTAGATGTTATTACATACTATCATACCTTTAAAGCACACTCTGAAGTGTAGGCCTAGTGTAATCACATGTAATTGTGGGTAGTCAGAATCATGATTTTTATTGTAATGATAATTTAGGAAATTATATTATTCGTATATGACCGTTACTCATTCGTGATAGCTAATATATTATTAATAATGGTAGTATGGTACCTTAACTAAGTACTACTAGTACAGTTTATTGAGTATCGTGTTCGTAATCATACATCTTAGAAGCCGTATAATCGTTTTTCCTTTACCTTTTTACCATGACTAATTTTTTAATAATCGTTTTAACACCTAACAGCGGCGCCACTAACAACAGTATATATATATATATATATATGCGTGTGTGTGTGTGTGTATGTATATATTTATATTATAATAAAATGATAATGTATTCAGTATACCGGACACACAAAATTAAACATTTGATACTTTTAGCCGATTAAAGTTTATACATCGATGTCGTAAGATCCAAGCAAATCAGTGTGCGACCAAGTAAAATAGGCATATGTGAGGTATCTATATTTTTTACATGGAATTTATCTGAATTTTTTATAAATTAATGTTTTGAAAGTTCTGTTATCTTTTAAAATACGTCGTTCATTCTTAATAAAAATGCTCTATAAGAAAATCTATATTTTAATCTATGGAATTATAGAAGTGTTAATGTGTTACATTAAAACAAACATAGGTTCTTATTTTTATAACAGACAGGATATTACAGTAGTCACAATTTATTTACAAAATCTGTCATGCGTGTGTACTAAATCTTTGGCCTTTATTAATAAGAGTAATCCATCTGACCCTTTTATGAAATTGTATCATTCTAGTTTCGTTTATATCACGTTTTATTTCACGAGAATCACTAGCCATTAATCTTTTATTGTTACAAGAGTTTGTTATCTGACAAGGAACACATGTTTCTTTGTTACACTTGAGAGGTGTTGACAAACAAAAATAATGTCAAGTTGAGTTATAGTTGCACTTGTGTTTCTATTGAAATGAAAAAAGTTAAAGCTATCCGAGAGTTTTGTAGCCAATATATGAAAAATTCATGACTATTGTTTTGAAAACTGTTATTGTTATCATATATACTATAAAATCTATTTTGTTTGGTATTCATTTTAATCAATTCATTTTTAAGGCATCTATTGTTCACAATTAACTATGGATTTTTTCCCTATAATATCGTTAACATAATGTGCTACACACTTACATGGTATTATCCTCATTTAACTGATGTCTTGTTCCACAAATGAACAGCTTTGTGTTGTCATTCAGGGTGCTATATTTATGGCAATAAGGTGAAGAACTTTTGGTCTTTAGATAGTTAATTTCGTCTATAAATTTAATACAAATAATTTTTGTTAAATAAAACATCATGATATGTTTAATTGGTTGTTACGCACATTCAGTAGATATGGAATCACATGAACTACCGCACGCTCCAAGTGATCCACTACAATGATTGATATTATAAGTCGAAAGTAGTGGTGCTGCTTCCCATTTTTCATATAATTTTTTTCCTGTTGGTGGAAATCTAGTAGCTTCTTGAGAAAAGCAATATATCTGGTTGAAATCGGAGTTGTCGGTACAATTTTTTTCACATTTTCCGTCAAAACAATCGGTTAATTCTTCACAGAGACATGATTTCTATAAAAACAAAAGTACTAAGTATACTTTTTATACATCAGTTTTTCTTGATAAATAAGTTGGACATTAGAGACAGACGGGGAACAAAACTATTTCTGATTTATTTAATAAAGTTACCACATATTATTGAATGTGCTTAAATTACTTTGAATAATTGAATAACAAAAACTATCCATGAATATTTTAGAATCAGTTTACTCGCTTTTAAAAAATTTAATAATCTATATAAGTTGTTTCTAATTTTAAAGCGTATCAATTTAAAAATTACTATTTTAAGTATAAAATAGAATTTTGTCTAAAAAATCATAACTAAAATACAACATTTTGAATTACCACCTATAATTATTATTGAAAACCTTAGATGAGAAGTATAATATAACATAACTATCAAAATAATAGTCTGTAAATAATGGACAGATCCGGAAATTCATATACATGAACTATTATTAATAATATGGATAGTAAAAATAATGTAATTATCCGTGAAAAATACGAGACGGTTGACCTTATTATGTAGGAGTTGGCTGTTTAGCCCTGTAGCGCATATAGTTTTTATGATATTTATGCATTTCATACTTCCGAAATGGTCTTTTTCTTATCTATAATTATAGTTATAATATAACAGTACTATCACAATATTTTTATTTATTATGGTTGCGTTTGGCATGTTACCGATGAAATGGAAGAAGCTATAAATAACACTTATTATGAAAAAATATGACAAAAAAAAATCGTAATGCCTAATATAAAAAATGGGTAATTTATGTAAAAATTTATTCCTAAAAATATTCTATTAAAGATAGATTGTAATTTAATGGAAATTCTTTAGTTCTGTTTCTTAGCCGCAATAATTAAGTATAAGCTACACGGGGTTGTTACGTTTTAAACGTGTTTAAAACACTAAAAATGACAAAATTTACAATGGTCGATTAGAAGTTTTAAACATTATTTAAAAAAATAAACGAATATTATACTAGAAAACAAAGAAATTATTCAAGTAGACTATTTGAAAACTTAGGCAGCATTAAAACAGACAACGGGAGATTAAAAGCAAGCTTGGTCAAGTAAAAAATACATTCCTTAAAAAGAAAAAAATACTAACATCAAAATATATGAATATAGTAATAAAGAATAGGGTCATAAAAACATACGTATAGAGTGTTACATTATATAGAAACGAGACATGGACAATTAATAAAAAATAGAAAGATATGTTAGAAGCTCTGGAGATTTGCAGTTGTAGAATAGACTGGACTGAGAGAAGATCAAATGAAGACGTCTTGAGAACAGTAGATGACATACGAACATTAATAGACACGATCAAGAGAAGTATATGGCTTCTATAATAATTTTATATTATTATAGTTTAATAATTGAAGGAACGATAGGAGGAACAAGATCAAGAGAAAGACTTAGGACGAAATGCATTAGTAATTAGGATACAGGAGTCAGAATATGGCAAATGATAGATAAAATAAAGTAAACAATAATTGCAAAAAATTTATTAATAATATTTGGATTGAAAAAAATATATCAAGTTTATATTTAGTTTTGAATTTCCTTTTTATAATTTAATAAATCCTATAAATTTAAATTCAATTAAAATTTAAGTACAAAAAATATTATTATCATTAAATCGACATAGATGTTATAATTAATATATGGCTACTTATTTTTTAAACTGTTGATAGTAAAAAGTACGATTTTATAGTTTTATTATTATAATTATATTTTCATAAAATATATGTACGAGATATAGTAAATTAGCTTATGTCACTAATGCAAATTTGGCGTTAATTTATCAGTGCCATATGATTAATTCTCAATTAAGGTAAATAAATGAGCACATTAATTTTAGGTAAAATGGAGTTTGAATTAATATGTATGTTTTGTACTTTTATATACCTACTTATATTATTAATAAACTAGGCTATATTTAAATTAGAATAAGTTATTATACTACACAATATTTATTAATTTATTAAAATAATTGGTTTATTGTTATTGATTAAATGATCAGTTAAAATAACTTAAGCTTTTATTTCATAATATCCATCCGTTTATAGTTTCAATAATTCTTAATTATTTTTTATCTCATATTGTAGTATATAACATTATATACTAAAAAAAATGTTTATTTATCTGCGACAATTTTTACTTATTGATTCATAATATTTATATTAAAAAAAACTTCCTAATTTAAGTAAACATTTTTGTACAAAAGTGATACAGGGTATCTGTACTTCACAAAATCATTTGTAGTGTAACTATCACTATCCATTAACATAATATACCAATTAAAAACATCAAAATCTTACTAAAAGTGCATAATATAAATCATGTATTTTATTCAATTAAAAAAAAAACTCAGCATAATCCTTAAAGTAAAAAAAACCTTAAACAACAACAAGTATCGTAAATTAATTTACTTTTACTGTGTTAGACGATACAAAAAGTCAATATTTATTTAGTGAGTTTAAATAATAAAACAGTCAATGCATACATTAACTAAGTTACTAGGGGACTCAAGTCGTAAAGAAAGTCTGTGGAATTTGATAGTGTTTTTGTCAGCCTTGGACTGTCAAAATGATCAATTAAGGGTCAGTATTATATTATATAGTTGATACATTTATTATGTTTATACAGCTCAAAATTCCAAGTAAAATCAATAGTAAGGATACTAAAAACATGTCATCGATAAAATAAAAATTTAATTCCAGAAATACGTTTTAAATCAATCTATACATAATTAAAGGTCATATAACAATGGGCAAGTTTGGAATGCGTAAAGTTCTACTCTCTATCATCTACGGAATTTTCAATGTTACAGTTATGACGTGCAATAAAAATGATTAATGATACTACCCGTTCCGCTAGCTTTATCTGTCAACTTCATTTTTCAAGCCATTCATCATATTAAAAACCATTAATTTTCAAAATATAATAGAAAAAAATTTTGTTTGAAGTTCATATCAATTACAATAAAGTATAGTTTTTATGACATTACAAACTTATAGGAAAAATATGTTAAATCTAGTAAAGTTTTTCTGAAATATTATGATCTGCAATCATTAATTATCAAATATGAAACCTTTAGATAAGTTTTCAAAATGACAAATACGGTCAAAGTATTATGAGCGTATTACTTGTGTGCAGATTTAACCACATGCGACAATGGAAAGGTTTCTTTTAAAAAGTTAATTTTAATGTTGGATATGTTGAAATATAACAAAAGTTATATGTCATAAAGCTTGTATTATTTTTAACTGGTCGCACGTTATCACGAAAATATAAAAATAACAAAAGTGTTGTTAAGGAAGTGAAGTGTTTCAACAACATTGAACCAACGCCTCACTAGTCACATAAAAAAACGAGAAAAAAATATATAGGACGATTTACGAAATGTTTACAGTCAGCAACTTCAATCAAATAAGTGCAACCGAACATAATTTGTGATTGTATTATTTTGTCAAAAAAGTTTTCAATATTTATAATTTAGTAGCATCCAAATATTTTTTCAATTATTAAATAAGATGCTAGTGGTTGAACAGTGATATAATTATGACCATGATAAATTTTACGAATAATAACATTTTTATGTTAATTCTGACTAGAAAAAGTTTTACTTTTATGATAAAATAATGTAATTTACTTATAAAGTTCATAACTAATTAACATAAATTATTATTAATATAATGCGAAAATTTTTAATGGAAATAGAGGTTTATTTTGATAACTTATACAATTGATACATTCAATGTACATACTACTTAATTTATAAACTCTTCAGAAAAAATATTCAAGAAAGAAAATTTCGACCAGAGCTGTCACGTTTTTAACATGTTTAAAATATTGAAAATGTCAAATTTTACATTGATCTTATAGCATATTTTAAATTTTTGAACAGATATTTTTTAGCTTCGATGCCAAGTTGAGAAGGTATTAATTTTACTATGATGTGTTTTTTTTTTTATGTCTGTTGCCACTTTTTCTCAGCTCTCACTGGACCGATTTCTTTCAATAATACGTCAAAAGATCACAAATCGTATCTAGTTGAAGACATTACCCTTAAAAATTGAAAAATTTTTCCTTGTTCCCCGAAAATGGGGAAAATATCCAAAAAAATTACTAATTTAAAAATCGGTAAATTTTGTCATTTTATTCACTTTTGTTTCTTAAAACTTCTATAACTTTTTCAAAAATCAACATAATTTGTTTTTATACTAAAACCTTAGATATTTTCCTTTTATTTGATATCATTTTTTTGAAAATCTAACACTTAACCTGCTCATTGGGGGGGNTCTCTCATTTGATATCATTTTTTTTTGAAAATCTAACACTTATTCTGCTCACAGGGGGGGGTTAAAATAGCAACTTTTTTACAAAAACTAAATTTTTCAACTTAATTTTTGAAAATGTTCCGGAAATACTGCGTTCTTTAAACATATACCAAATTAAAGCTTATTTTATGTACAATAAAATGAAAAAGAAAAATTTGTCCCGACGACCTATCTTCTATGCGCAAATGGCTACCGTATTAAAAAATATGCTATTTTTCTATTAAAATTCTAGGTTTTGTATTTTATTTTATTTAAAAATATCTTATTAGGAGAATATATTTACTTTCATGAATATTATATAATTTAATTGACATAGAATAAAGTTCATAAGACATAAGAAATTAAACTTACCAAATTTTTTTTTTACTTTTTTAAAGTTGAAAAAATAATTTTTAAATTTGAGTTAGCTTAAATAGCCAATTTTTTGCTTCGATGCGAATTTTTTATATGTAAATACTAATTTTTTATAATATTAAAACTTAAAAGTGATAGAAAAAGTCTAATTGCAGATTTAAAAACATCGTGAAAAGTTGATTTAGAATGGTATATTTTTGTTACTGAAGAAAGTTCCTTGTAGTTCAGTGTATTTATTTATATTAACAAACAGTTTTTATTGAAATTTATTGTATCAAGCCCTTTAAATTTTTATACACGTAAAAATAAAGCAAAATACAACTTCTTTATTATTTTTATAATTTCTCCGTTTAATTTACAATATTAAATTATTGAATATCAATTTCATACTAAATTTAATAATTATAATTAGTATTTATTCATATATTATATTTTAAAATCAAAGAACTACTAATTAGGATATAGTCAAAGAAATAAGAGTTGATGTTGCTTTTGGAATAATCCACCACCAATTTCTCTAAATGAAACACTATCTAAAGATTTGCATCGAAGCGTTTCTTATGATAGTGATTTTAATCACTGTCAAATATCATCTATACTTGTCCCATCTATGCCTTGTCTACACTGTGCCTCGACCCCACTGTGCTACCGTTTTTTTTTTTTTTTTTATAGAAATACATGTTTTTTTTAATAACCCTGACCCCAATCGATTGAATCTACTAATTGCTGTTATTTTTATTTTTATTGTTCGTCGCTATAAATATTCATTTTTAAACTACCACTGCCAATGTGAAATAAGTACTATTTTTAATAGAAAACAAAGTGTTATTTTATAATTTTTACAAACAAGTGAAAATTCTATCTTGGGGTAATTTTTAGTATAAATGATCAAAGCTTTACACTATAAATTTTTTTTAATATTATTCTTAAATTGGAAATACTTATAACTATAAACTATTTTATAATTATAAGTAAAATTCAATATAATAAAACAATAGTAATTTTGTATGTTTATTCATTCATAATCATCATATGATTACTATGAAAGTTTATTGATAAATAAATTAAAATTTATTTACCTTGATAAAATCTCCAGAACAATGATGTTTTCTCGGTGAACAATCAATATTTTTTTGTTTTAGTATGATTATATTTGATACTCCTACTTCGGAATCAAACTGAATTAACCTTCTACATACCCGAATATTATTTGAACATCCAATGTTTAGACGCCTAGTAAAAATCATATATATTTTAATAACATCAACATATGTAATTGATTAATCAGAAATGTATCATTAAAATATTTTTTTATTCTGATAATTAATGTCAAAAATAATTTCCATAAAAGTCTATTCAACTTTTCAAACATTATCTACAAATTATTTATGACAAATGAATTATACATGGTTATATTATTAGGATAATTAATTATAGAGAAACATGTTTCGCTTGAAAGCCGACACATAATTTTTAAATACTAACGAATGACAAAGTAGATTTTTTTTTGGTTACTTCAAATGTCACTCATTAGTTGAATGACTAATTTTGTTAATATAAAATATCTTAACAAATCTGTTCGCAGACAATTATTTTTAATGATTTATTTCATTTACACTTGGCAGAGTTGTAGTGTCAAGAATATTATATGTGACACTTAGTTTTAATTATTAAATAGACGTGGTTATCAGTTACATATCATAGAATTAACTTGATAATTATTCATTTCATTTAAACTAATAACTTAGCTTCAATCGTTAATGAAAATTTATTGAAGTAGAAAATCAGCAATATTGCGAAAACATTGTCTGAAAATAAAGTTGTTATTTTAATAATTCCTAAGCGACTATATTGGTCTAATAATAATAAAAAAAACCATTTGAATTCTGATTGAAATTCATTAAATCTTATAATAGTTTTTATTTCTATGTTTAATCAGTAAAAATTTAGTTATATTTTCAAAACTTGGATATTGAAGTATTATTTAATTGGTACAAGATTAAATAAGTCAATAAATATTTACCCTGAGACGTCTGTTTCACTTTTTGTGTTAAAACGATTTTTGATATCGCTGCTACATTCTTTTTCTGTATGGAAAAAATATACACCAGGAATCTTATTTGGAAGTTGATATTTGTTTCGAAATAAAAATTCTATAAAAATTGATTAAAACATATTAAATTATTGTGTTTGAAAAAAAATTGATCAATAATGAAATAAAATAACTAAAAACTTTTCTTTGTAATTTTTCTTAGAAATTCAGTAAATTTGAAATTAAACTCAAATACACAAATAACTCGTCACTTCAGAAAAATTGTTTCAAACTCGATTTTTTTGAAAAGTAACTTTTTTTGACGGATTAGTTTATTTATTTATTTTGGCGGAATTCAATTTCTACAGTCATCATAACATCACTTAATATTATTTTATGGTTTAAGTTGTACTAACTAATTATATTATAATTACTCTTTTTTTACGATAATAACTAAAAATAACAAAATGTAACATTTTTTTATCAAAGTTCTGCATGAAAATTGTTTACTATTTACTATAAAAAATATATATTTAAGCCATAGGCTATAGAGTACCTTCTCTTTATATCAAATATATATATATATATAAATGAATTATAATTAAATGATTTGAGGAGAAGCTTTCTAAGTATTGGAAACTTAGTAATTAGTAGTAAAATTCATTTATATTTATAACTACTTTAAAATTAATTATGAGATTTATTAGTGTGAAATGATCATAGATAGTTTCCTCAAAATGAAAATGTCCTATGATATACCTACATTTGTTTCATCCATATTTATTTTTGTACCCAACAGGTTCTAAATATTATTATGTAGAACATTTTTTTTTGTTTATTGTCATTTTTAATTATATTATCATTAAAGTCTATGGAAAGTTAATAGTAAATATTTGTTGCATCAAGTGTAAAATTCTGAAATTTCAGTACGAAAATCAAAGACTTGCAATGACTTTTACTCGGCTGAACGTGCAATAACATAGTGTCTTTGGTTAGCATAATCACGTTTTATGGTAAAATATAATATACACAACAATTAAAACAGTAATAAAGCTGTTTAATGACCACTAAAGCAAGTATAAAAATAAAACAGTTAAAAATTTAGTTTTATGCTAGTTTTATTAAATGATTCTAAATGCTTTGAGTTTTGGTTTAAATTACTTAAAGTTTAAACGATTTAAACTTTAATTATTGTAGCAATAATAAAAAAGACCGCCTAACAGAAAATTATAGTGATTTAACGAGCCAGTTAATTATATTAGCGTTTTAATAAGACAGATATGACTTAAATAAATATTATATTTAAGTTATTTTATTCTGAATTCTTTTTGAATGTTAATGAAAGACTAAAATACCGAATTTTTTAAAAATTATTTGGAATATTTTTTATTTTTATTCAGTTTGTTAATTATTATAATGTTACTGACAATTTTTTATATGGAGTGTTAGTCCATACAATACAAAACTTATGTAAACTTATTAAAACTAAATAAAAATAATTTTGCAATACTAACCACAGTCATATTCATCGCTATTATCTCCACAATCGTTTGTATTGTCGCATCTTTGTATCATTTCAATACGTTTACCATTGTTGCATTCAAATATAGACAAATTACCGTATTTCCTACAGCATATAATTGATAAATATCATGAGTTTAATTAATTAAAATGAAATGAAAACATAATAATAATAACATTAGATTATTATTATTTAAATTTTAACGCCATAATAACAATATTAAAATAAACTTTGTCAAAATATTTAGTTTATTTTTCTTGTACCATTTAAATTGAATAATTGATCAATTGAATGTTCAATTCGTAAGCGTAATACATTTAACTAATTTTATAGCGTATATTTTATTTAAAAAAAAATTATAAAAATATTCAGCAAATATTTTATTTTTAAATACGTTTTATTCGTATTTTACCTTAACCTGATGAAATTGACATAGTTCACGTCATCAGTTGAATAAAAATGATCATTGTTGTAATCGCAGACCCAAATCCAACCGTCACACGGACCATAAGCACTTGCTGTAGACTTCTGTTTGTATGCACTTGTGGCGAATAACTCTGTAAAACGAATTTAATACTATACAATAACACAGAGAATTCTAAACTATTCATTTCGTGGACCACACGCGATTATACGGTAGTAAAATTGTGACAATTTCATCGTTTTTTCAGACTTTCGAAAATTAAGGAAGCATTCCACAAAATAACAATAATTACGTTTATTTTTTATTTTTTATGAAATATTTGTGTATTTAAATTAAACATTTTTGTGGTAATACTAAATGATCATTTGAAATTCAAAATATGACCTTAAACTATATCAAAAGTAAATATACTTCAACGTCTGATTTTTAAAGCAAATAAACAGTAGTTTAATAATATAGGCTTTCGAATAAAATTTAAATGTCATCGAGTTTTTTTGCTATAAATTATGTTTTGGGCATAAATTGTAACATGACCGGATTAATTTTATCGTCTAACTTTAGGCATTGTCAGGTGATGTTTTCTATAGTAATTAAAATCTCATTGATGAATATTTATTACTGTAGACAGTAAAGTCCCGTTTAATATGCGCATATATGTACTTTGATGCTGATTGGCTGTAAGCGATATATACAACTTATATATCATACCCGTTGTTCATTTAAAACATTAATTTAAAAAAATTGTATACATTTTAGGTAAATAAAGCATCTAATTTATAATTAATTCTATCATTACTTAATTATAAATTATTATCAATGAATTTAAATAAGAAATCTTTTAATTAAATTATACAAGTATTTTTTATAAAGTTAAACTAAATTTTTTCAAATTTATTAAAGAAGGAAATCCTGAGACATGTAATACAAATGTTATACAAGTATTATCAGAGATTTATTTTGTTATAATCTAGAATATTATTCATGTGCATATTCATCGTGCCTTATTTTTGTAATAACTGGCAACTTTAACAATTTAAATAAAGCGTATTATGTTGATAAATATGGTATTTTTCTATCCGGAAAAAACACGGTCTAATTCAACAGGAATTTCATTTTTACTATAAATTAAAACAGTTTTTGGTAGTTATGTAAATGCTATTGTATTGTAACGGACCTTTTGTTGTTACAAAGTTCTTAACAAAAACAAAAGATTTCAGCTAAGAATACACTAGATTAGTACTTTAAAAATTATTCAATTATTCAAATGAGTAAATATAAGCTATAATACTCTAAAAAGCAAAAGCAATTGTTTATCTGTTTAAAATTTCAAAAAAAAAAACGAAATTATTATTATTATTTAATAACAGTTCAGTTATGGATCATTAAAAAAAAATTATTTGATTGAATGTATAAAAGTAATTAGATTGGTCAGAATACTAACTTACTTGAAATTGTTTGAGTATTTTGCATCTTCATAAAATCTTTGGAAAATTTTTCAATTTTTTGAATTTATTAACATATAATTATTGTTTTGTTCATTTTATCTTAGGTTTTAAAAATATTTTAATCATTTATACTAAGTTTGTTTATTCCAATAAATTAATTTTTGAATAATGCACTTAACCAAAGCGAACTTAGTTATTTAAATTTGTAGATTTATACTTGTCAGTCAAACTTCATATTTATCTGAATGGGACTTAATATTAATGAACCAGCTTTAAGCATAAACAAAAAAGATGTCAGACCGACTATTTTATCGGGAATTGCTCTGAGATCAATATTGTGATAATATATTAATAAAAGATTAGCTTACAAAATATTTTCACACGCACTCAACACTACTACACGAATTTACTAAAATGTTTTCTATTTCTAATATTAACAATTTTTGATTTATATTTTTAATCAAAAATCTTGGAAATCGTAATCTGAGGATTGAACATCGTCAGTTTGACTGACATTAAGATATTTTTCCTCTGAATTTCGATCTTCAATCTGAATAACATTTTTATTTAATTGCATTGTGTCATTATTCACATTAGACTGATTCGCTAGTAAAGTCAGCTGAGTCTTGCTCACGGCTTTCTTGACTCCAGCTATTTCCTTTGCCCATTTAATAGTATTTTTTTGGTCTGCCATATAAACCAAAGCCGATTTCCACATCCTAATGTGCCTTGCTTCAATCGATTTTTTCAAACGACGCCTCTTTGTTTGACTCAGCTGGCTCAAACGGCATTCATTCCCATCGTTTTTTAGAACTGCCATTTGCGCTGTGTCGTCTAGTAAAGAACACTTTGATGAGTGATCCATTGTATCACCCTGGTGGGTTGCCAATGAGTCGGTCGTAAACAACATCTTGATCACCTGTCTGGAGCGATGGAATTACCATATTAATACATTTACTGATAATGAAGCAATAGATTAAAGAATATGTGTAAATATTGTTACTTCATTATAGTTAAACATTCTTAGGTTTTGAAATGATTTATTATCCTGATCTCTTTAATTGACCACTATATTTAGTATTTAAAACAGCGTCTGTCGTATATAGTTGATATCCTTTTCGGATGAATTAGATATTTATCGAATTAATGATAAAAATAGATTTTTTTTTATTATTTTCGAAAACAATGTTATACCATAAAATGCCAAAGACTCTTTTCGTGTAACTATCAGGATCAAATAATTTATGTGAATTACACAGAATGCATATTTTCAGAGGGATATATTTACTTTCCTGTTGTCAACAATTCGTAAAAGAATCGAGTTTGAATTGAGGATAAATAAATTATTATTACGAGAAATAAGAACCGTCTGATTCATCTAGAAAATTCAAAATGACATATTTACAAAGAAACAGAAGGGTTCTAGTTGAAATACGTCGATCAACTTAAGAAATTACACGAATGGTTATAAACAATTTAAACACATGAGTTCATGATGCCACCAACGATCCCTAGTACACAATTTTAGACTGTTTCAGTTCTGTAATCATTTAGCCCTGGCCGTTTTCCAGGAAATATTTCGGTTTCTATTAATGCTGACAAAATGTTACTGTTACGCTAAATACATTTTGCATAAATTAGAAATCTATAAACCACAAGAAAATCATTAATATAACGAGATGACAGTTTGTTGAAATTCAATTCTGAATTATTCTGATCAGGCATCGATTGTAGACAATAAAAAAATAATACGGTCGAGAAAAACCTAAAAAAAGTTTAAATATTTATAGTGTGAATTACTATTACCGTTTAGATCTAGTAGTGGATCAAGGGGAGGACACAGAGTGTACATACTTCATCTTAAGCTATTGTTGTTTAATAAAAGAAAAGTGTTTCGATTGATGAAATTAAAAATAATTGACAATATTTGCCTCTCTTTGAAAAAATTCTGAATATATCCCGTTGGATTAAAGATTTTATTCAGATTATTGACAGAGTTTTCATGCGCAATAGATACAACCATTAATTGTACTTCTAGCGGCATACAATTTAAATCACCGTTTTCTTAAAACTATTATAAAAAAATTAATCCATAACACAAATGACAATCTATAACTGCAAAAGAGATTATAGTCATTTTTAATGACTTAATATTAATAAATTGTTCTTTGGGTGTTACTATTGAAAACATTAGGCAAATTCTTATAAATTTCACTCCAAACATAAAAACTGAAGTAGATTCAAAAAAAATAATGAGATAAATTCAATTGTGTGCATAAAACTCTTAATAGTTTAGCAAACTCTTATGCTACAATAGTTGGAGAGAAAATAGATATTTACTTAAACTGTTGTGATTTTTATGGAACGACAAAAGTTTTGTTTGATTCTACACTTAACGAATACTTTCTATTGCAATATTAACATTATTAACTTAACTGTAATGTTTTAAGATCCTCGTTTTGTTCAAAGGACGATAGTTCTTTGTTGATAATCGAACCCGGGAGTATTCTAAAATGTGTCCTCCGGGAATTCACAATCATTTGTGATTAATTTTAAGTTACTAAAGTAAAAGTACGCCATCAGATTTTCAACTCTATCTCTGGATGTAAAATAAATTCAAAAAAAAAAAAACTAAAAAATTTTTAAAATGATGAGTAATATATATCAAGTTAATTTTTTTTTTAATAGAAACAAAAATCAACCACGCTGAAATATTCGTTATTTTTCTAGATCCTACAAACTTACAAGTAAACTTTTTATTCGTATAAAAGTAAAAAGGAATATTGAGGTGTTCTTGTATCAAAATAAATATACGCATGTAGTAAATAACTTTTCCATAATGTGGTACATAAGGGTGTAAAAAAACTTAAAAAAAATGTATAAGCCTCATACGTTGTAGCTAATTTTCATAAAATTCTGAAATAAACTATAAAGAACTCTTGTCATTTTTCATCCCGGCTTGCAACCCATAACGCGACATTATAATTCTGGCTGGAGAACATAAAAAAAGGTTACTATAATAAACCATTAACGAGGAGCCAAACCGACATAGTTCCTAAGGTTGTTGCGACAATATGTAAACAATAATCTCGGTTGTCATGTGAAACTGCGATAAGGACGGTGACGCACACATTTGTAGTGTAATATTAAATTGCGGAGTTAAAATAATGGGACAAATTAGACCGCAATATCACACGATAGGCCAATTCAGTCTTTCATCTTGTCGACTCCGGCTGGTGATTTATTACTAAAAAATACATCATTCGTTGTATTGGTCCTTTAACGAGCACAATATATAATGATATGTAGCACAAAGTGTTGGACGTCGTCATCATCATCATGGTCCCTATACATTGGAGTGGACTCAAATGTTGTAATCTCTCAGTCATTTCATAATCTATGAGAAGTGTATTGTTCGGTATAGACAACTTTTGTATTACTCTTTCATTGTATATGCACATGGAATAATTTGTTATGGATTGATTTATCATTCACGAGACTCGTATATATAATAAAAAAATGAATGTGCCTAGCTATAGAAATACGATTGTTATAAGACTATAACCGACTTACCTCTTGAAAACGACAACTGGACCGCAATGATTTGCAATAACAACGTTTGGCACCACATTGTGACACGCAATGTAAACGCGATACTCGAAAAAACAACCGCCTCGTTTCCACTCTAGAATATAAAACAGAAGGCTGTCAGTGATTATTTTATAACAATTCTGTTTCAATAAATCTGTCGTTATAATATTGCTCAAGATTTTGATTTACAAGACTGTTAAACTTTTACTATCGACGTATTTGTCCCTTACACGAATGTCAAAAATAAAGTAAAGTTTCAATATTGTACACGGGGCGGTAAAGGTTACTAGGTAAATGCATTAAGAATGATACGCCAGGGGAATTATGTTTTAGTGATTTTACATACTCGCGTAGTAAAATTTTAAGGAATATTTCTATCTTCTACATAANTTACATACTTGCGTGGTAAAATTTTAAGGAATATTCCTATCTTCTACATAGTATTGTTTTTATATTTTATCTTTAACTGTGCCATGTGAGAGTAATATATTATTTAAAAGTGTACCACCGCTTAACTAGAAACATATTTTCACGTGGATTACGAGACTTAAACGTAAAAAACCTACAGATTACCAAGCATCAAAAACTTCAACTCCTATAAATAATACGGTCGTTTTAAGTAATCGTATTACTCAATGTCTCGGGAAAACCCTGTAAACAGATTGGTTTTATTTCATAAGAAAAAAAAAACATTATTGCTATTACTTTGGCCAAATTACTTTAAAAAATAAACATAATATTTTATTTACGGAGCAAATAAATATTTAAGTAGGTGAATAATAGAGATCATTTATTATATGTTTTGAAAAGTAATCAATTTAAATAATTTTTCAAAAATAAATTCCAAATAAACGTACGACACTGTTATCATCGTAGAAAGACAATTTTCAATGGACGTACAATGACCGAACTGGGTGTAAATAATTAACTAGACCAACGTTTCATTCTAATCGATATAGCTAATTATATATTAAAAAAAAACCAAAAGCAAAACTGATCAATTTTTTTAAATTTTATTGAAAAATCTGATGGTAATTCTGATAACCTTTAGATTAGCTAAATTCTGTGTAACTATTATAAAGTGAACACTAAATCATTGAACGGGTTGATGCTGTATACCTATAAAACACCATTGCTTAAGTTGGTGCCCTACGTTTTACTTTTCATTATTTATCTACATTCTTTACCTTTACAGATTATCTTATTAGTAAGCTGATAAAACAAACTTTTTTTTAAATATATATTAGTACATTTAGTAAATATATATTCCGTGGATTATCCAACATGGTGCGGTACAAGATACAATCCTTTTCATTTTTTTTATGCTTTTAAGGATTATCAATCTTGTTCTTTTTACAATACAACTAATAAAATTTTCAAACAAGTACTTTAAGAAGACATGAAGCAATCGTTAAACAAAGTGCTGAGTTTTAATATGGTAAAACAAATCGTTAGATAAATAAATACATTATATGAACATTTTACTATGAAACGTATTTCAAAGAAATATCTGGAGGTTATATAAAAATCTACTTGGTTTTAATATTCTGACAATAAATTGCGCATTGAATAACCATGCAATGTAAACTATACAATGAATAAATAAATAACGTGCTTAAATAATTTTAGTTAATTGCTAACATTTCATTACAAATGTTTTATTATACACGTCACTTTATAATAAAAATGAACAACGTTAGTGTAATAGTCATTATACCTAAATATTGAACGAATATATGATATTTTAGTAATAAAAATCGTAGACAAATAATATTATTTATAAATAAAAAAAATGGGTGACAGTATTCCTAATTTTTCATGTAACGTTTTTTACTTTGTAATGAAAATAAACAGATAAAATTCAATGGGCGTTTTTCTACTTTTTCCACTCCATAAGTTTTTAAATACAAAAGAGATTACAATATTTTTACGGATAGATATACAATGAGTTTATAAATCTGATTATGTTTTATGACAAAACATTTTTTTTAACTAAAAATGTTAAACATTTTATTATAGCCTAGGACAGTTATTTATATTTATTGGACCAGTCCGCGAGGAGTCTGACAGCTGTGACAAATAATACACCAACAAAATATTAATGGAACAACAGAGTTTTTTATACTATTAGTGAAAACCAATATAAAGAACTATGTTTCTAAGTACAACATTGCATATAATAATAATAATAATAATTTAACATTCACAAAATATACATTTAATACACAGTAATTTTATATCGCAGAAAATGTAAGATCATCATATGTTTAATTGAATACGAATTGCCTATTTGATATTTTTTTAAAAACATTCGAGGAAGAGTTATGCGATAGTACATTGAAAAATTAAAAATAAGATGATTTAAAAACATTTTATAGCGAAACCCAATTTTAAATTGATGTTTTCATCACATTTCCACTATTATAAATTACTTATTTTGAGTTGCATATTAGCTAACTAATATAAATAAAATTTTTAAACAATAAATGAATTAAACTTTTTCATGATAATAAAGCTATTGATCTTTAACAAAGTGATGCATTTTTAATGGCTAAGTACACTTAATTAATTCACTCAATCAAGTAAAATATTTGTTTAGGTATTATGTATTCGAGAAAAAATTAAACATATTTTATACGGCAAAATTAATTAAATTGTTTTTTTTTTTTAATGCAAAATAATGTTTTTATTTAATATAAAAATTTAATAGATAGTTTTCAAACAATAAATGTTGATTAGAAATTTTAAACAAATTCATTAGCTCGACTTTTAATATTTATTTTCATAATAATTCAGTTGATTTTTTACAGTTTTAACAAAATAACTAAAAGTTAATGTGAAATATTTACCTGAGCAGAATTCGGTGGCGACCTGTACGTCTACTCGGTACTTTGCCGGCTCTCATTGAGCCGGCGGCCTTGGCGGCCGTGGAACATGTTCTAAGCCGTCGAGTGTCAGTGCACCGCCGTTTTATGCATGTGCACAGACGACTGTGTTCAACCGAAAAGTTGCGCAAGACGCGCCGCGCCGGCGTCGACAACGATGTTGGCGGCGAGAAGTCACCGCCACCGCTACCGTCGTCGTTGTCCGTCAACCGTCGGCCGAAGGTGGCCGCCGCTCGAGTGTGTGTGGTGGCAGGAAGAACTTACGAGGGTGGCGCGCTCCGTGGGGCGATGGAGTGTCCACACCACACCCCCAAATTTTGACGATCGTTGACGGCGAAACGCCGACATTCTCCGTTGAGCGACCGCACCAAGAAGAACTCGTTCCATACCGACAGGCTGCGACTAACTGCTCGAGAATGCACAAAGAAAATACTTCACAGTACACTTAATAGAACGAAAAATTCATTTTTAATTCAATTCATAACTAACTTCTGAGAAGTCTTAACAAGCAAGACGACAATGATTAATTCAATTACTTAAAATAACTTAAATATAATTACTTATTTTTTTTTTTTGCAATTTAACTATATTTTTACTTAATTCAATACTCATCGAACTTTCTTTATTAATAAATTTCCTTAACTTAGAGCAAAATCTTAATCAATAATTAATTTATTCATTTTCGATTCAAATAAATTTCATTTATTTCTACATAATTATTTTATTTGACAAATTAATATATGTTTTTTTTTTCAATTAAACTGAAACCAATACATAATAATTACAAACATGATGTTTTTGATACGCTGACGAATATTTTCAAGAGTATTATAACTCTCTTTTACAGTAAGTACTCCGCACAAGGATGCCTTTACTACAAAATTAAATATACCGGCGGATGTTTCCTAATAAAAATTTATTCAAATAATTCGTTGACAAAAATGAGATTATACATTTATTCGTTGGTAGTAATATTAATATTTTAGAACTACCTCTAGAATAACTAGATTCATATTGTAATCCCTGAACAATGTCCTAATATAAAAAAACATTTCATGGTATTATAATAATTATTATTATTTTTTGGATAATGTCGCAATATTATGAAACCCTTTGGGCAGTCAATGAGATTATCACTTTTTATAACAAAAAAGGGATTATACTATCAAAACCCTTTCGTCTGGAATTTTTTGTAATAAGCACGATCTATATAATCGTGGTAATAAGATTAAAGTAGTCGATTTATAAAATAACACATTTTTATAACGTCACAATGATTATAATTTCATCGATTTTTCTGATGTTACAAGATTTAGACGTTGTAAATCATTATAGGAATTCTATTATCATAATTGAAATCTAAATACACGCAAATTTTTGATAATTTTTTCCACTGGCATTTATCATTTCAATAATTTAGGTATATTTGATTAATTGTACTCAAAGCATTCATGTTTTAGATTTAAGGCCCTTTTCTCAGTCATTTTACATGAGATTTCAACTTTTTATTTAATGCATACTAAAATGTTCACTAGCCATAAAATGTATTTTCATCATATATAATTTTAAGAGGGAACTTTTCGACATTATATTTACGACATTTTATTATTAAGACAATATTTTTAAAGAAAAAAATATTAAATTATTTTATGGGTTTCGTGTTTTTCTGAACTACATCATCAATCACGGTGTACACATTGTGTGCTTATCTATAAATTGTAATTTTTTTTTGAACGTAGAAGGTGGAAACTGTTGAAATAGATGCGTGTAAGTTTCTTTTTTTAAGTTGTTTTTTTTTTTTTTTTGAAAGAAAATGGGTTCTATTATTCTTGTAAAAATAAAATCGCTGAAGAAAACAGTTTCAACCCTGAAATACATTGATCGCAAACGCAAAATAACTTTTTCCCTCGCAAATAGATAATGGTCTGCCGTTTATTTCATTTGGCTCAAGTGAAAAATGTTATGCGACTGACAAGATTGATTACTATTTTGAAATTTTCATGAGATAAATAAAATAATAATCGTAAGCAGCCGAAATAAGCAAGTGTAGAATGTTGAAACCACCAACAGCTATAACCGTATATCTGTTTTTAGAGAATAATAGTTTCATATCGTATAATACTGTTATTTATTAATATTACCCCTGGCACAGAATCTCCGGTTTCAGAAGATAAATGCAATGAAGATATATTTATCATGAAAAGTGTTA